CTCTCTCTTTCTTCTTCTATCTCTCCGTCTCTCTCCCTCTCTTTCTCTTCTTCCTCTTCCCTCTTCTCTTTCCTCCATCACAATCCAAAACAGTAAAATATAAAGACCCACTCCATACGTTTTTCCCTCTTATTCCCTTCTCTCTCTCGCTCTCCTCTATCTGTTTTTTTTTCCTTTCTTCTTCTATCTCTCCGTCTCTTTCCCTACTTCCTCTTCCCTCTCTCGCTTCATCACAATCCAAAACAACAAAATATACAAAGCCACTCCATAATTTTTTTTCTTCCTCTTCTTCCCTTCTCTCTCGCTCTCTCTTTCTTTTTTTTTTTTTTTTTTTTTTTTTTTTTTTTTGTGAGTTAGGATTGGGAGTTGAAAGATAGAGAGAAGGCTGAGTTTCGGAGGCTGAGGGATTCATCTGAAGGATGAGTTTAATTTTGTAAGTTCATATCGCGATATATTGTTCATTTAAAGCTGCAACTTGAAGGAAAATATTGTTACTGAAATATCGGCGAAATTATCGATAAATTGACAATATATATATATATGGGAATGTGCTAAAATATCGTTGACCCAAAAAATGATAATTTCACCGAAATATCGGCGAAATTATCAATATTTTGTTCTATGGATGGTATAACAGCTTTAGATGCGGAAACCATTTGATCGAAAGCTCTAGTTTCCTCTTTAAGGAAGGTAGGGGAAGGGCAAACCTCATTTGCCTTGTCACATCAACATTTTCATGCTTTAAAGAAAGAGGTAAATGGATGGACAAAATACACATATTCCTCCCAACAAGGTAATATTGCATACTTCAAAGTGAAAGGGTATATTGAACCCACTTGCTTTTTATAATAAAATATCATCTCCACTCTCTCATCTACTTTCTATAAAATATAATTATAATTGTAAAAAATAAAAGATACAAGTAAATAATAATGATTTGTGCACTTGTATTGTCTAATCCCTTGGAGTGATTAACTTTTTTCATGAGGCAAATAGGTAGGCAACTTCCTTGGAGAGGCTCTTAGCTAAGCCAATGATACACCTTAAAATCACCAATTCATCGACGAAACAATATAGAAGTTTGTGTGTTATCATCGACCATTTGATTAAGAGCATTTCCAGTAGTGGAGTCTGGGGGAGGGCTGGGGGGGTGTTTGGGATAAAAACTTGTTTCCAGCAGTGGGGTTTGGGATAAAAACTCGTTTCCAGCAGTGGAGGCAGGCCTGGGCGCGATGGTGGGACCCAGCAAAACGGGCTGGCCCGAGCTCCAGCCTGTGGTTTGGGTGACGTCATCGTGACGCCAGTGCTACAGTGTCCGCCAACGATTATGTGCCATGTGTCGTGTCCTGGGCTCTTCGATCATTATTTTTGCTCCAATCCAACGGCAGCCAATATTTTTGTAATAAAAAATTGAAAAAAAATCCAAAAAAATTACTTCTTTTTTCTTTTTCTTTTTTTCTCTCTATACCTTATTTTCATTTCCAACATTTAAGTAAATGTCTTTGTCCTTTTACTTTTATTTATTTTTATATTACTCCATTTACTTAAGTTTACAATGTAAATAAGGAAGTAGGCCTGGGCACGGTTCGGGTCGGGTCCAATTTTGAGTGACCCGCTGGGCCAAACCGAGTAGGATATCGGTTCTCGAGTTGGGTTGGGTCCAAACTTAAAACCGAAAATGAGCCGACTCGATAGGCTCCGATTCGGTTATGGCTTTTTTGTCGGTTTTGGGCTTTAGCCCAACATTAATTGTTTAAGCCCAACTCACTTTTTTTGGGCCAAAATCTTTTTTTTTTTATAGGTAAAATTGCCAAAACCTAATTAGTTTATTTATCCAAAAGCCCAATTTTGTTAGTTTTTTTTTTACAATGCCAATTTTTCAAACAGGCCATCCCTTAAAGCCCATTTCATTTTTCCTTACCCAAATCATGTAAATTCAACTCAACTATAACCTGCTTTTTTAAAGTTTCTAAACTAAATCACAATCACAAGCATCATCCAACTATCAAATTAGTTGTTTCTTACAAGTTACATCCCAAGCCATGACAAAAAATACAAGTAAAGCACCAAATTATATTTTACAACCCATAAAAAAAAATACAAGTAAAACACCTAATTAGATTTTAAAGACCAAACACATTCACTTGTATGATTGTATCAGTTAAGGGAGCTGCAAAAAAAATATACACTTGTATCAGTCAAAAATCACTCACCAAACAACCATATTCATACTCCAACTCGATAGTTAATTTCACCCAAAAAAAAAGAAAAGTGGTTGCAGTTTTTGTCTCAAATCATTTAAACATATCAAAACAAGTTATAGCACCTCAATCAACTCAAGTACACAGATCAAAACACTCCTTAATCAGTTATCATTCAAAACATCTTATAAGCTCTGTTGTTTCATTTTATTAAGAAATCTATTTCAGCCAAGGCAAACCAAATAGCAAGGAATGCCTTAATGTCCCCCAACCCCAATACTTCAAGATGTTAAATTTTTATTTCCATCAATATTTAATCAACCAAATACAAAATGAAGCATCAAATATCAATCCCATCGAAACAGCAGCATGTCTATCTATAACCACAAAAAAATGTCATAACCAAAATCTCATTAACATCAAACATATTTCAGAACCAATATATCATGAACATCAAGCAAGCAAATTTTCTAAACTCACCACCGCTAGCACTGAGTCAGATTCATCCATAATCACCACCACATTGTAGTCACAACAGACTTTTATCCAAGTCCTTACCACAAAGACGCACATATAAAGTTAAAAACAACATACCATTGATTTGGATTAAAGAAAAATTAGAAATAGCATAGGGTTTATACAGTGTTTTAAAAGGCACGCATCAAATATCAGTCCCACCGAGCAGTAATCTTCACTTTTGTCAAATATCCATACTTTTTCAAAGTTAAAATAAAAAGATGCCGTTTTTTTTTATTTTTCCCTACAGATCAACCAATGGGTACTCAAAGTGAAGAATATTGAAGATAAAAGTGAAGATATCACCAAGCAGTTATATTCACTTTTGTCAAATACTTCAAGCTAAACTGAAATTTCATATTAGTGAGCAAATCACAAATAGCCATCAAACTATATTTAAAATATTATTTACTTGTATCTTTTATTTTTTACAATTATAATTATATTTTATAGAAAGTAGATGAGAGAGTGGAGATGATATTTATTATAAAAAGCAAGTGGGTTCAATATACCCTTTCACTTTGAAGTATGCAATATTACCTTGTTGGGAGGAATATGTGTATTTTGTCCATCCATTTACCTCTTTCTTTAAAGCATGAAAATGTTGATGTGACAAGGCAAATGAGGTTTGCCCTTCCCCTACCTTCCTTAAAGAGGAAACTAGAGCTTTCGATCAAATGGTTTCCGCATCTAAAGCTGTTATACCATCCATAGAACAAAATATTGATAATTTCGCCGATATTTCGGTGAAATTATCATTTTTTGGGTCAACGATATTTTAGCACATTCCCATATATATATATATATTGTCAATTTATCGATAATTTCGCCGATATTTCAGTAACAATATTTTCCTTCAAGTTGCAGCTTTAAATGAACAATATATCGCGATATGAACTTACAAAATTAAACTCATCCTTCAGATGAATCCCTCAGCCTCCGAAACTCAGCCTTTCTCTATCTTTCAACTCAATCGTAACCCAACTCATAAAAAAAAAAAAAAAAAAGAGGAGAGCGAGAGAGAAGGGAAGAAGAGGAAGAAAAAAAATTATGGAGTGGCTTTGTATATTTTGTTGTTTTGGATTGTGATGAAGCGAGAGAGGGAAGAGGAAGTAGGGAAAGAGACGGAGAGATAGAAGAAGAAAGGAAAAAAAAACAGATAGAGGAGAGCGAGAGAGAGAAGGGAATAAGAGGGAAAAACGTATGGAGTGGGTCTTTATATTTTACTGTTTTGGATTGTGATGGAGGAAAGAGAAGAGGGAAGAGGAAGAAGAGAAAGAGAGGGAGAGAGACGGAGAGATAGAAGAAGAAAGAGAGAGAGAGAGAGTGTGTAGAATAAATAAATAAAATAAAAAGGGAGAGATGGGTGAATGCCCAAAAGAGAAAGAGAAGGCAGGTTGCATGTATCTGCAACCTGGGGAAGTTCAGACAAAAAAAAGGAAATAAAAAAACGTTGGGAAGTGGGAGAGGGAGGTAGGGAAACGTGAAAGTGTATAATAAATAAATAAACCACCATGATCCTGGGAACAAAAACAAATGCAACAGCCAAAAAAAATTGAACAATAAGTTTCTAAAACAATTAGTCCAAATGAATAAAAGAGAAACTGATTGGTACTGTGGCATCCTCATATATCCGAAAACAGCTCTTCGCTTGTTTCATGTTCTTAGCAGCGATAGACTCTGCAATGTAGGCACCTTGCTCACTGGAAAGCAAGCCTTCATGAAATCTGAAACAACATAAGTGGAAAACAAAATTGAAACAAGTCATAGAACCAAAATAAAAAATCAAGTACACTAATATATCCTGTTACAGCCCAAGAAAACTCAAAGATAAGCAAACAGATTACTGACATTTTTCCAAGACCCAAAAGATGCAAAATGGACCATCATATTACGCAGGAACATAGCCTAACAACAAATGATATACCCTATCTTTGCAAGCATCTAGAACAAATGAACACATCTAGAATAGAGGAGAACGGGAAGATTCAGGAACATCAAGGTTACCAAAAAAGAACAGAATTCTATTTTATTTCTGTCTTTTACCTCTCTACTGTTTTTACATGTGAATTGTTTTCTTTAAACAAACTAAATACCGAAGGATTGAACCTTCAAAATGTATTGCAATTTCCAAAACCAAACAAACAAAAAAAAATGAATAAAGATCTAAATGTTCATGTCCACTTCTTGGGATTGGTATATTTTGGATTTTATAACTGTCAAAATTGTTTAGTAATCATAGCATTAGCACTGACAAGACCTTCTTATGGAGCCATTAGCCCCTCAGTCAGCTTTGAGAAGCAGTGTTTGCATCACATTGTACCTGGGATCAAGTTTCCGCTGCCATCCCTGCAAAACATAACCAGTGATGAGATTTGTATAAGATCAGTTAATTGATGATCACACCAATGATAATATAAATTGGAGCAAATTGCCTCTCAGATTTGTATAAGATATCAGTAATTGTCTATTTCTGCTACTCATGGTAAACCTATTATATAATACAAAAAACTATCATATTTGTTTTTCTGAGACAATTAAATTAAATTTATAAAGAGAAGAGAAAGGAGTAAAGGATATATGGCCAACAGAAAAAAGCAGAAAAACAAATAAAGAAAAGACAACTTAATAATCTACGTGTGCTTTAATTTAATGTCTTTGTGCTTATAAATTTCACATGCCTATATTGCGAAGATTACAGAATTTCATAAGAGAATTTCCATGCCTTGGCTGCAATAGATAAAGGAAAAAGAAATTACCTCAAGAACCAAAGTGGTTACCATGACAGTACAGACATTGCCATCGACATTGACTCTATGACGCCTAACTGTCTCCAGTACTGCTGCAGGATGGACCAGATCACCTTCTGGAGTACCCCAGAAAGCAAATGCCTCCTCCACTTGCTGTAAAAAGAAGAAGATTAGACTAAAATCAAATACATAATGTAGATTATTAAGGAGGGAAACTTGTAACAGAAGCTTCCTGAGTTCATAATATCATTGAGGAACTGCATTTTGTCTACAACCATAACACACACAGTGATGAATAAACGAAAAAAGGAGTGAATACTACACACACACACACACACACATATATATATATATCACATATTTCAATTGTGCTTGACAAAATTCAGGCTTTGAGACAAGAAAGTATTACCAGAGGAAGTTGGATTGAAAAGCATTCTAATATGAAATTCTTTCTTTGCATAATCTGAGCATAAAGGAGGAATTGAAAGGGCAAATATCAAACCTGCAACTTATTTAATAAGGAACACCCAAACAAGATGAATGCAACGGATCTCCAGAACTGTTAAGGAAAAACTAATAAGGCAAAACCTTTGAAGGTGAATTACTTGCCCATTTTTAGAGAGGAGATGGTGGAAGACAGAACAATAGAGAGACAAAAAAAAAATCAACCATGTAGGGATAAGATATTAGAAAGATAGTAGCTTTTTTATATATATATTTTTTGGATTTGTTATGTATTCAGACCACATTCAGGTATATCAACTGATATAATTCACAAACTTCAAGACACAACAAGATACTTAAAAGACCTAAGCACAATTCAATCAAAATAGTCCAAAAGCATAAATGCATTGCAAGTAACATCAAAGGTATATATATGTTACCAGGTCCAGGAGCATCTTCAAAAGTGCGTGCGTCACAATGTGAGCAAGCGCAGATTGAATCCGATCATCCCCTTCAAGATCATCGACACATTCCTCTTGTTCATAAGTTTCCACCAAAACAGCAGGATCCACAAATGGGGCAGCTTCCCTTGCAATCTCAAGCTCAAATTTGCAGCTAAATTTTTTCAATTTCGGGTTTCAGACTTTCAGTCAATCGCAGTGTTTGAAAAGTCGGCCCAGGCGGGCAGCTAGGCGGCTAGGCGGGCGCTATGAGGTGCGTGTCAGACACCTTTCAATCTTAGAATTCATAAATTCACAGATTAAGAGCAAGAAACTAACGTTGAGATCCCTGATTTTCCAAAAGCATCGTATGCTTGGTGTTGGCCTGGGTCACTTAAGACTTGGTAAGCTTCTCCCAAAACCTGAATCCAGGGGTACTGCCCCAAGAGTTGTGCATACCGTCATTACAATAGACAGAGGAACATCCCCTTGAGCAATTAAGGTCACCTGAAAGGCTATTTCATACAAAGCATTGAATGGAGTTGAATAAATGGGCTAGGCGGGCGCTAGGCGGGGGCCAGGCGGGCTAGGCGGGGGCTAGGCGGGCTAGGCGGGGGCTAGGCGGGCTAGGCGGGCGCCTAGGCGGTCTAGGCGGGCTAGGAGGAGCTAGGCGGTCCAGGCGGGCTAGGAGGAGCTAGGCGGTCTAGGCAGGCGCTGAAGAGAGAGAGAGAGAGAGAGAGAGAGAGAGAGAGAGATAGACGAGGATGACGACGGAGTTATGTTTAGGGTTTAGAAAAGGGCCGCCCGGCTATACGATTTTTAATAATAAAAAACCGTAGTATAGCCGTTCGGCTATACGATTTATTAAAATTTTGAGCCTTAATATTGCTAACTCCTAAAATTTTGATTGCCGACTTGTGCGTTGTGACCCACCTCAAAATTTTAGGAGTTAGCAATATTAAGGCTCAAAATTTTAATCAATCGTATAGCCGAACGGCTATACTACGGTTTTTTATTATAAAAAATAATATAGCCGTGCGGCCCATTTCTAAACCCTAAACATAACTCCGTCGTCATCCTCGTCTCTCTCTCTCTCTCTCTCTCTCTCTCTCTTCAGCGCCTGCCTAGACCACCTAGCTCCACCTAGCCCGCCTGGACCGCCTAGCTCCTCCTAGCCCGCCTAGACCGCCTAGGGCCCGCCTAGCCCGCCTAGACCCCGCCTAGCCCGCCTAGCGCCCGCCTAGCCCGCCTAGACCCCGCCTAGCCCGCCTAGCCCCCGCCTAGCGCCCGCCTAGCCCATTTATTCAACTCCATTCAATGCTTTGTATGAAATAGCCTTTCATTTGACCTTAATTGCTCAAGGGGATGTTCCTCTGTCTATTGTAATGACGGTATGCACAACTCTTGGGGCAGTACCCCTGGATTCAGGTTTTGGGAGAAGCTTACCAAGTCTTAAGTGACCCAGGCCAACACCAAGCATACGATGCTTTTGGAAAATCAGGGATCTCAACGTTAGTTTCTTGCTCTTAATCTGTGAATTTATGAATTCTAAGATTGAAAGGTGTCTGACACGCACCTCATAGGTTGCCTGCATTTGTCACAGTGTATGTGTGTGTTAGCTTAACACATAGTTGCGTGTTTCTGACATTTTTTGAATGGTTCCCTTTCTTTCAGCGACTCAATTATTGATCCTGCAGCAATCTTCGCTATGCTTTTTGGTAGTGAGCTTTTTGAGGAATATATTGGCCAGCTAGCCATGGCATCAATGGCTTCACTAGATATTTTCTCAGAAGGGGAGCGGTTCGATCCCAAAAAGCTGCAAGAGAAAATGCGGGTACTGTTTTGTTTATTTATCCTCACTAACCCAGTGATCCAAATTCTGCCATTTATGTAACTGATTCTGCAAAGGAAATTAAGAACAAGGTTTGGGTTTGCTGTTGCTTTGGGTTTATTTGAACGACCTTTCTATTTACTGAGACTCTTGCACAATCATTATCGATTCTCTGATTCTAGGGCCAAAGTCTTCAATTGATGCAAGGTTTCAAATTGTAACCTTTTAAACTCTCAGTGAAAAACATGCTTCTCTATTTCTTCAAATATATAGCTGTCTTCCTTTTCCGAAACCATCATCTACTCTTTTCTTAGCTTTCCCACACCACCAAACCGTAGTTTCACAGTGCCAAATTTTTCTACCTGAAATCACACAGTCCAAATGGTCCAAAAATTCTTCAGGATTAACAAAATAAAGAATTTGTGTGCATGTACGCAGATAAACAGGTATGCATTTTCTGGTGGACAAGATTCAATAGAGAAACATAGAGAACTTGGAGCACATCGCGAGGTATTTGAATTGTCTTACATGTTAGTAATAGAAATTTGTCGTCCTCAATTGGTTTGAGAGTGTTATTTGTTGCTGGATCTATTACCTTCCCTTCTCATTATAGATTGTCCAAGCAAGAAAAAAAATTCTGCTTCTCTGTCTGCACTTACATGCCAATTTGATTCATGTCTTATAAGATTTGTCTGTCAGTAGTGTACTTGGTGCCTTTTAGTAACTTATTGAGGAAAAAGAAATTTTGTTGGCTTGTAATTTAGCTACTCATTTTATGATTTCATCATGGATGGCATTCCTGTAAAGTCAAATAAATTCTGTTACTGCATCCAATTTCAATAGTATATTATGCTGTGAGACGTTTAATGGGGACTATCGTCCAAACTATCCCAACAGTTCATTGCCTTTTGAAGGTGAAAAAATTGCTGAGCAGTAGTTCGTTGCTCAAGATGTAGGAACTGATTTTACGATATGCTAATGTGATTAATATCTGATGGAGCTGTTTCTGTGTTTATTTCCTAAGCTTTTGAATATAAATTTCGGTGATATGGTCTGTTTTCTACAGCTTACAGGTGTTGATACGTTGAATACAATTGGCTACATATATGCCAGAAAGTCAGCAAAAGAGCTACAGGTAAAGATGTCTTTGTTTGTACGTAGACTGTAATAAACTTCAGTGTTATATCGCGAGAACGGAAACTTTTACCAAATTGGAACTTCATCCAAACTACAGTGCCAAAATCATACTTTATAAATAAAATCCAAACATGCCAAGAAGATCATACCTATTTTCATAGAGAAAACGATATTGGTACCAATGTTTTCAAAGGCGAGGCGTATAGGCAAGGCGTTTTTAGTAGCGCTATGCGAGGCGCAAGCCTTGAAGCGTTGAGGTGTAAGCCTTTTGAACAGTAATTTATTTTAATAAGAATTTTTTTTGAATAATACAATACAATTAAATTGTACAACTAATTTTTATTGAACCATAACAATCTTTTAAATATAATTAAATATTTGGTAAGGATAGAAATTAGGGTTGTACTATACAATATATATATATATATATAATTCCATGTGTTAATATATTAACTTAGAAAAAAAAACAAAAGAAGTAAGTAGAAAACGGCTGGAAATAGAAAAGGCAGGAATATTGGATGAAGGGAAGCCGTTTCACTTACAAGAGGTTTATTTTTCTATTTCCAAGTGGGGCAAAAAAAAAGGGGAATAAAAAAGAAAACCTTGCGTGGATTATTTTTTCAAAACAGTCCAAGTGAAACGACGTCGTTTCTTAATTTTTTTTTTTTTTACATCAAACGAACGACGTTTCGTTAGAAAAAACCTATAAAAAAAAGTCATCTTCCTCGCGTTATGTCTTCCTCGCAGAGCCGCACCGGAACTTGGAGAAACTGAAAATTTCTTCCGTTTCAGAATGTCCAGATCTCGCGCGCCTTGCAACGCCTTCTCACGCCTTCCCAGCGCTAAACGTGCAACTCGCGAAACAGCTGACCGCCTCGGGCGTTTTCCGGCCGCCTCACTCCGAAGCGCGCTCCGACGCGCGCGAAAGCATGCGTTTGAAAACACTGATTATGACAGCAAACTATAGTTTCTCAACTGTTGCTTACAAATTATGAGTACTTTCTTTTTTCAAATTATGGTTAACTTCACTCAATAATTTATATATCAAACTTGACAGAAGCTAAATCAAATAGCAATAATACACTAATACAAGGCTACAACGCAATTTTTTATAGAATTTTTGAGCTAAAATTAGAGTGAATCTTTACATACTGAAAACAATGTGTACATTACCTCGAGCTTTTGCCACAACAACACACCTAACAATTAAAGTCACCAACAATTAAAGGCAACTTACCCCACAAAGAAACCAGCAATATGTACTAACAACACAGAAAGAATAACCACCCCAACTTCTCCAGATCACACTGTCTCAGCATGAGCCATTAGAGAGAGATCAGCCGGCAATGTTACGGCAACCATTGAAGCTTTGAGACGGACAACATTCTCAGAGAATACACTGGCCCACAAAATAAAATCTAGTATGTTTGAGAAAGAGAGCACATTTGGAAGGAACCACAGGCAAGACAATCATATAAGTAATTTATAATATATTTATATGCACAACAAATGTACCTGCATGCAAGCAGTGATGCAGCTAGCTAGAACAGCAAAAAGTGGTGCAAAAGGTATCACAATTTTAACCACTGCAGGAAATGCACTCTGCATATAAGAACCTAAGAAAATTGGAGCAACAACGACCTACAGATGACAGAATAGAGACAATAAGCCCCAACTGATGGATAATATAATATTACTGAAGTTTCTTATATTTAACTTAACCTGCATGGTGCTCATTGACAGTTTGGCAGCATCCACAGGAACGTAAGTCCCTGCCAATATCTTTGTTAGTAGAGGAGTCAGGAGTACTGCCCCAAGAGTTGTGCATACCGTCATTACAATAGACAGAGGAACATCCCCTTGAGCAATTAAGGTCACCTGAAAGGCTATTTCATACAAAGCATTGAATGGAGTTGAATAAATGGCCTAGGCGCGCACTAGGCGGGGGCTAGGCGGGGGATAGGCAGGAGCTAGGCGAGGGCCAGGCGCGGTCTAGGCGGGCGTTGGAGAGAGAGAGACGAGGATGACGACGGAGTTATGTTTAGGGTTTAGAAAAGGGCCGGACGGCTATACTATTTTTTATAATAAAAAACCTTAGTATAGCCGTGAGGGTATACGATTTATTAAAAAAGAAAAACCATTCTATTTGCATTAGTTTATACTTTATAGATATTAATTTGCTAGTTTTTATATATATACTTTATAGATTTAAATTTTTGAATATATATTATTTTTATTGAATCGTATGTGAAAACTGGGTTTATAATACGTGAATTTTATGTGTATTATTGAAAATTTTGTAAAAAAACAAGTGTATTAAACATAAAAAATACATACGTACGTGTAAAATATGAGTATTAAACATGGAAATGCTAAAAATTTTATACGGCTAATAACTTTGAAAAAGTAAAAACTCAAAATGGTACAATAGAGACTCGTTTGAAGGCCTAATAGTAATGAAAAATGCTCTGAGCTATCGATAAACAAAAATTGTGGAAAAAATATAATAGTATCCATGCAAAGAGTATAGCTGCGCAAGGCTATACTCTTTATTTTTATGTCTAAAAAATCCCGAGTATAGCTGCTCGGCTATACTATTTTCAGTAGAAGAATTCAAATCTAGCTCAAAACTAAGCACCACAAGATGTGCTAGAGTAAAATAGGATGTGTGACCTCCACATCATCAACATCAATTAGCCGCAAACTAACTGGCCTTCAAGACTTGCATAATTGTGTTGACAAGTTGCTTCAGTTGCCCCTCACTCAACAAGCCTTGGCTCAAGAGTAGAATGAAAAATCGACTAATGAGCTATTAGATGGTTCTCTCAGGCTCTTGGATGTTTGTAGCAGTGCCAAGGAGCGTACAAGACCTTCAATCATTCATGCGAAGAACGCGAGGAGGTGAATCTGGAGCACTCACGAGTCACAACTGAGGTCAGGAAATACTTGACCTCAAGGAAGATGGTGAAGAAGGCAATCCACAAGGCTATGGTAAATCTCAAGGGATCCAGTTTCTCATCCCTCAACAAGGACAATGAGACTATTGCCGTTGTTAGCACGTTGAGAGATATCAAGGCAGTCACTCTCTCAGTGTTTGAATCACTCCTGTCCTTCATCTCTGCTCCAAATTCAAAGTCTTCTGTTCTATCTTCTCACAACGCACAAAGAAGAAATGGCTTTCCACACACGCTCTAACAGCTTCCCTTCAAGGCCACACCCGATCGTTCAAGAAGTTGATGAACATTTGTGTAGACTGAGGTCTTCTGAGGCCGCCTCCACATCTTCTTCATCATCAATATGCTACAAACTAAGTGGCCTCCAAGACTTGCATGATTGTGTTGATAAGTTGCTTCAGTTGCCATTACAGAATTTCATAAGAGAATTTCCATCCTTCAGCTACGGTAGATAAAGGAAAAAGACATTACCTCATGAACCAAAGTGGTTACCATGACAGTACAGACATTGCCATCGACATTAACTCTATGACGCCTAACTTTCTCCAGTAATTGCTGCATACACTCAGCAGGATGAAGTTTGAAATTTTTGCTACCATATTGATTATAACAAAATCTCTCCAGATGGATTCACGAACACCAGGATGCCTAACCTTTACGGCAACTACTATGGGCTTCAGCTGTTGACTAGCTCCATGCACTTGAACAATACTTCCAGATGCTACTGGTTTCTCTTCAAAATTTTCAAAAATCTTGGCGAGCTTGCGGCCAAACGTTTCGTTCGATAGTTTTCTCCGTGTAGAGCTATGTTCAGGAGCTTTGGTGTGAGGCTCTGAGAGCTTGGTGATAAAGAAAGAGCGCCAACTATAAACAATTACGCGAATTTCAGTGTATCACCACAAATTAAAGGCGGTTGAATCATCAGGAAAAAAATAATAATAAACAATAATAATAATTATTATATATAAAAAAAGGGCCTAGGCGGGTCTGGGCCTTTTTTGTTTTGTTTTTTAAATTTTTTTTAAATTTTTAAGATTTAAGATTTTTATTTTCGAGGTTAAATTTTAATGCTTTTTTAACCCCCGTAGTAGATATTTAAAAAAATCTTTAAATGATATTCCTAGTTGAAACCATTTATTTTCTATTTGGTGGCAATTTCCGACATGACCCGACATAATTATGTTCTTAGGATTTAAATGCGTAATTTTACCTGAACAAGACAGTTCTGGGCTTTGTGCCCCAATGCCACTTGCCAATAAGCCTAAAAACCCTGGTAGAAATGGAGGTGAAGTTGAAAATGAGGAGTCCATTTCAGATGCTGACCTTGATAACATTGTTGGTGTTGGAGACAGCTTTCAGCTAGAGGTATTGTGACTTATGCAAGCATCTTTTTACATGCATGGAGATTGCTCCTGAATAGAGCTGAAAAATCACCAAGGAAGTATTGTATTTCAGGAAATGGATCCTCCGAGCACACTTCAGTGTGAACTTCGTCCATACCAGAAGCAGGCTCTCCATTGGATGATCCAACTGGAAAAGGGACAATGCATCGATGAGGGAGCAATGACTCTTCACCCTTGTTGGGAGGCATACCATCTTGCAGACAAGTATGCTGGGCTGTTAACCTTGGATTATTCTACCTTATGATTCAATATTTATTGGGGTGTTTTGCATATAGGAGAGACCGTGTTATCTATTTGAATGCGTTTTCTGGGGATGCAACAACAGAACTTCCAAGCACACTTCAAATGGCCAGAGGAGGAGTATGTCTCAAGTTGGCTCAAACCTTAATTAAATATTTTTTCAAACTTTATTTTTATGTGTTGATTGTATTGCCTTTGTCGTGCATTTGAAGATTCTGGCTGATTCTATGGGCTTGGGGAAGACCATTATGACAATAGCATTCCTTCTTGCTCATTCAGGACATGGATTATCAGGTAGTCACCCTACAAGCCAGTCCTCCAGTGAAGATATTGAAATTAGTGACATTTCAGACCATTCCCCATCAAACCTACCAAAGAAGGTCACAAGCTTTTCAGGATTTGATAAGTTTATGAAGCGAAAAAACACCCTTGCAGATGGTGGCAGTTTGATTATATGTTCCTATGACTCTTCTAGGCCAGTGGAAGGTAGTTTTTGTCACTTTGAAGAACACCAATTGTAGTTCTGCATACTTACACCTGCTCTGAAAGTTGGTACTTGCGCCAGTATCAGAGTGTTACGTGCACAGTGATAAGGATTCTATATTTGGGAGTTAATATAAACATTTGAGTTTGTTGTCAGGCAGAGATTGAAACTCATGCGCAACCTGGATCTTTATAGGTATATGTTCATTATGGACAAAGTGGGCAGAAGGATGCAAAACTTTTAGCTCAAAGTGATGTTGTAATCACTTCATACGGAGTGTTAATTAGCCTCAGAATTTTCTGCAGAGGTAATCTAAACATCTCCTAATTGCATATTGTGCAAATTTTATTAGGCGGCCTAGGCTGGACTGGGCCTTTTTTAATTTTTTAATTTTTTAATTTTTTAATTTTTTAAATTTATAGTTTATAGATTTGTATTTTCCAGGTTAAATTTTAATGCTTTTTTAACCCCCAGTAGTAGATAAAAAAAATATTTCTTTAAATGATATTCCTAGTTGAAAACATTTATTTTCTATTTGTTGACAACTTCCGACATGACTCCATACACGACTCGATTTCATACCCGCTCGAGATGACCCCCACTTTGGCTTAACAGGTTTTTTCTCTGCAGGCTTCTTCTCTTGAAAGACAGGAGGTGATGCCTCTGGTATCGTTTCTGGTGCAGACTCAACATGCTCTGCATGCTGAGTGAGGAGTTCCAAACCTTTCAAAGACATGATCTCTTCCTGAAGGAAGGGACCTGACTTGGCATCTGATCTGCTGGACATGACGTTACAATAATCAAACATTTCACATTAGCCATTGCTATTTACAATCAAAAGATACATATGATTACATCGGTGAAATAATTTTTAGGTAAAAGTTGTGATTCCTTTGCCGTCACCCCAGACGGGCAACCCCATAATCATAGAGAAGAGTGTCTCTATTGTGAATATTTCATTTTAAGTTATGAGACCAAAAAAGGCGGGTTGGTTCACAGGAAGGATGGAGAGAAGTTAGCACATCCAATCCAATCCAATCCAAATGTAGTTTTGATATTGTTAGGATCGCCGTACTGCTATTTAATGGCAGTAAGGTTATTTCAAATCATAGGAGTCCTCTGGATTACTCCCTTACAGTTTCTTTGTATAGATTGTTTTATGTATTTATTTAGTAACGTTTGCATCACATTGTTACATTGTACCCGGGATCAAGGTTCCGCTGCCATCGCTGCAAAACATAATCAGTGAGATTTGTATAAAATCAGTTATTGATGACCACACCAACGATAATATAGAATTGGAGCAAATTGCCTCTCAGATTTGTAAATGTTGAAAATAATGCACATTTGTGCTTAAGATTTCAAGAAGGATCTAGAGAATTCAAGAGCTCACAATAAAGAAGTTGCATGGCAGCAAAGCAAAATGAATATGGTGGAATATTCTAGATAAAACCATATAGTTGTGGCTGGAGTAAGAGACCAAGTCCACTTGGTGATGTCGGCAATGAAGATTGAAGATTATTCTAGACAAAGCCAAACATATGTGGCAAGGAGAGATTGTCCAAGTCGGTGAGACTTGGGTAGTGGCGGCAATCAAAGCCTATAAATAGGCATGCTTATACTCATTCAAAGTGGAGTCTAACAAAGAACTCCCAAACCATTAGGGAGCCAAGGGCTACCTAATGCTAACTATGTTGAGAGCCAATAAGCTCATTAATCAAAGTGTAAGGGCCAAATAGCCCAAACTAATCTAAACCAAGTGTTGTGGCCAATAAGCCAATATGCTAAGTGTAGAAGGCCAATTAGCCACCACAATGCTATGTACTATTCTCCTCCAATCTAATAAAATCACTTTGTTTTCCCTTATAAATCTAACAGTAAAAGATATCAATTCGGCTACTCATGGTAAACCTATTATGATACAAAAAACTATCACGTTTGTTTTTCTGAGACAATAAAATTAAATTTATAAAGAGACGAGAAAGGAGTAAAGGATATATGGCCAACAGACAAAAGCAGATAAACAAAACGAATATATTGTGAAAATTTTCTATTTATAGCGTATAGCCGATCGTCTATACTGTTACAATATTCTATTTAACGGGTATAGCCGAGCGGCTGTACAGCTTTTCTATATATATCTTCAAATATTGTATTTATAGAGTACAGCCGAGCGGCTACACTGTTATGATAGTCTATTTAACGTATATAGCCGAGCGGCTGTACTATTTGAATATAATATTTAATGAGAATAGCCGAGCGGCGGTACCATTTAAATATAATAATTAAATAATACAGCCGTGGCTATACTCTTCAAATATTAGAATGGCCGTTTCCCCAAGTGCTTAAAGCATGGAAGATAGCTTTTTCTGTATTTCTCGGACCTTCCCACGTTTGGATGCCTCCTCTTTTGCAGTCCTTCCTTTATCTAGCACATCAAAATGATTGTAATGCGACTAATAAATTCATAAAAGTGAAAAACAAAAAGAAATTTTCACCAGGTTTCTTTGCAGACCTCCCAGTTCCCCTTTCACCTGTACAACCATTTGCTGGCCATACTTTTGCAGAATGATTAGAACCACCATAGTCCTAGGAACAAAAACAAATGCAACAGCCAAAAAAAATTGAAGAATAAGTTTCTAAAACAATTAGTCCAAAATGAATAAGTTAAACACAATGTGAATTGATCCGTGCAAAGAACTTCAAAAGAGGAATCTCTAGTATCACTACTTTTTCTTAAATGAGCCATGCAAAGAACTTCAACATCCATTGCACTTTGAGCACTCTGGCCAAGTACTTCTCCAGCCTGTTGTAAGGCGTCACTGCCTGTCTTTTCCTCATCATGAAGTTGTTCTTCTTCATGCATCAAACTGTCCCGATGAATGAAGTAAGCAATTAAAATATAAGAAACCAATAAGTTCTGAAGTTAATGTGAACCAACAGTTTAGTTCAGCGGCAGCAGATCCAGCACGAGCATATGTAAAATCAAAGATCCGTAGCAAAGAAATTAGATCGGTGATTACAAATTACATATACAGAAATGAAGTATCAGGTTAAGAATGTACATAATAGTGGAGTCAGTCAGCCACTCGAGGGCAACTAAGCACTAACAATTATGTACCTTTTATTCTGACCTTGTTTTTATACATATGTATTATTGTAGAATACATGTAAATGAGAATGTATTTTCCATGTCGCATCTTATTTTCTATTTCTCATTTCACATGATTGTGTTTGTGCTCATAGGCAGATACATTATTTCCAAAATTGACAAAGATAGGCTTCATATTACATACCTCTCTGGAGTGCTTCAAATCTGCTTCATGATCTACTGAGCAGTTTTCAGGGGAAGTTTCTTCATAAGAACTGGTATTAATACAAACAGAATTATTCAATTTGGTTGTCAATGAGCAGCTATTTTCCACGGGCAGTGATTTCCTTTGTATATTAGACTCATCCATATCCTTTTTTCTTTTATTCCTTCGGCAGAAAGTAATCAATTGGGTGGTCAACTTGTTTCACGCAAGCTGAATCACCACTGAATTTATCTAACTTATTTCTAGAGAATGAATCAGTGTCTTCTAAGTTTGATGTATTCAATCTTGGCGAGCTACCATCACATCCAGAGCTGCTTTTTCTTTCAAATGCTGCTGCTGCTGCTGATGATTTTTGTCTTACAAAATCAGCAATAATTACAGCGGAATTCATCACCAATTGAGAAACTAACCTCCCTCCAACATTATTATCATCAACCAATGCTCCAGCATTAGCATTTGAAGATGAGCCTACTTTCTTGCCACTAGACTTATTCCCATATGCATCCCTTTGGGAAGGAACCTCATCAAGACTTGTCGGAACGGTTTTAATTGGTATTTGTCTTGTGCCGGACACTTCAATGTGTTTCTTTTCCTTATGGGGTTTATCTAGGCATTGGAGATGATACAACTGAAGGCATTTTCCACAGTGCTTCAGGTTACCCCCAACACAGCACACAAAACAACATGGCATACCTGCAAGAAAAAGAGGCAGGTAAGACAGAATATAGCAATGACCTTAAAAATAAATTATAGGTCTAAGTCAACTAAGAGAAGATCTTCATAGAAACCTAAATTAAAGAACCAAATCTAAATGCTCATCTCAACTAGATACGCTTTCAAGGGTCGGTTGAATAGGGCACATTCTGGTGGTATCTGGTAATCCCTTAAAACCTTTTTCTTTTCAGTATTTTTTTTCAAGAACAAAATTATTAGAGGAAAAATAGGGAAGGATGGATTATTAAATTATCTACATAAAGTTGATTGACATACAACATCTGTCCCTATGAAACAAACTACAAAAAGTGAACAGGTTCCAACTTTCTAAAATCTCACCGCAGAATTTCTGTTGTAATTTTCTGAGGAACGCTTATCAATCAAATGAACTTGCAAGTCTGGTGGTTTGCTTAAAGAAGTGTCATTGGGAGCAACAAAAAGTGAATTACAGCACTCATGTCCCTGTACAGGATCTGTTCTTGATTGCCGCTTTCACTTATGCGTTAGCAACACTTTGCTTCCTGACATTTAAGCTTTCAAAAAGAAATCTTGCTGCAATTCCAAACACTTGGACCGCATTTTTCACATGAAATTTGTACTTATTCCACTATATGTTCAGTCTCATTTCAACACAGAAAAACCTGCAACTGTTAAGGAAGAATATCCAATTAACTAAACAGCAAGTCATGACTCATATAGTTAATACAGTTATGAGTAGCAACACAATGATAGCTGAAGGGAAAAAGACGGATTTCGACTACTCTGAAATAGTGAATCACTATTACGAGGAATGCGGCAAACAAAAATTGTACTAACATTCTCCACCTAAAACACAGGGAGTGAGGTACAAGCATAAATGCCATTTGCATATTAAAGAATAAGCAAAGCAAGAGAAGCTAAACACATGCCATTCACAGAAATGTTTAAACTTCAGAATCAACAGTTTAGCCTCACGCATGCCATTCACAGAACCTTGTTATTGGCAAGACCAAAGAAACTCCATGATAGGACAACTTCATCATTTCCTTCCACAGAAGTCATACACCAAGTCAGCAAATTTTGTATTTTTTTTCTTCTGCACCATGTCGTAAGTGCAAAGAGAGAAGAATATAAGGCGCGAAACAAAGAGAGGAATGGAATTGGATGAATTAAGAGTCACATGATCTCTTCTTCTATGGATCTGACTTGTGCTTCACTGCTTCGGGTTCCCAATCTCAAGGTCAAATTTGCAGCTAAATTTTTTCAATTTCGGGTTTCAGACTTTCAGTCAATCGCAGTGTTTGAAAAGTCGGCCTAGGTGGGCAGCTAGGCGGCTAGGCGGCTAGGCGGTCCCTAGGCGGTCCAAAGGCGGCTAGGTAGTAGCTAGGCAGGCGCCTAGGCAGGTTGGGTCTTTTTTCGGCGCCGAACCCGGAGGACGAAGCAGTGACTGCGAGAGAAAGTTCCGTCCACCAAAACAGCAGGATCCACAAATGGGGCAGCTTCCCTTGCAATCTCAAGCTCAAATTTGCAGCTAAATTTTTTCAATTTCGGGTTTCAGACTTTCAGTCAATCGCAGTGTTTGAAAAGTCGGCCTAGGCGGGCAGCTAGGCAGCTAGGCGGGCGCTAGGCGGCTAGGCGGTGGCTAGGCGGCTAGGTAGTAGCTAGGCGGGCGCCTAGGCAGGTTGGGTCTTTTTTCGGCGCCGAACCCAGAGGACGAAACAGTGACTGCGAGAGAAAGTTCCGTCCACTGCGAGTGCAAGCTTCGTGTTCGTTCGAATAATATTTAAAGAGTATAGCCGCACGGCTGTACGTTTAAAATATTCGAATCTAATTAGAAAGTATAGCCGTTCGGCTGTACGTTTATAATTTCTATTTATACAGTCGAGCCTGGCGGCTATAATGGTAAAATATTGTATTTAAAGCTGATCGGCTATACTGTTAATATATTGTATTTAGAGAGTATAGCCGCGCGGGTGTACTGTTATAATATCTATTTGTGCATGTATTAAAATAAATAAAAGGTGTGATACTAATAATAGATTTTTCTGTATTTCTCGGACCTTCTCACGTTTGGATGCCTCCTTTTTTGCAGTCCTTCCTTTATCTAGCACATCAAAATGATTGTAATGCGACTAATAAATTCATAAAGTAAAAAACAAAAAGAAATTTCCAGTGGAAAAACAGATGCAACAATAACTCACCAAGTTTCTTTGCAGACTTCCCAGTTTCCCTTTCACCTGTACAACCATTGGATGGCTCTACTTTTGCAGAATGATTAGAACCACCATGATCCTGGGAACAAAAACAAATGCAACAGCCAAAAAAAATTGAACAATAAGTTTCTAAAACAATTAGTCCAAATGAATAAAAGAGAAAGTGATTGGTACTGTGGCATCCTCATACATCCGAAAACGGCTCTTCGCTTGTTTCATGTTTTTAGCAGCGATAGACTCTGCAATGTAGGCACCTTGCTCACTGGAAAGCAAGCCTTCATGAAATCTGAAACAACATAAGTGGAAAACAAAATTGAAACAAGTCATAGAACCAAAATAAAAAATTAAGTACACTAATATATCCTAAACAAGATACGTAAATGGAGCACAGTTATCAGGAAAATTTAAATCTCCATCGATCCTGTTACAGCCCAAGAAAACTCAAAGATAAGCAAACAGATTACTGACATTTTTCCAAGACCCAAAAGATTTAAAAAGGGTCATCATATGACGCAGGAACATAGCCTAACAACAAATGATATACCCTATCTTTGCAAGCATCTAGAACAAATGAACCCATCTAGAATAGAGGAGAACGGGAAGATTCAGGAACATCAAGGTTACCAAAAAAGAACAGAATTCCATTTTATTTCTGTCTTTGACCTCTCTACTGTTTTTACATGTGAATTGGTTTTTTTAAACAAACTAAATACCGAAGGATTGAACCTTCAAAACGTATTGCAATTTCCAAAACAAAAAAATAAATAAATGTTCATGTCCACTTCTTGGGATTGGTATATTTTGGATTTTACAACTGTCAAAATTGTTTAGTAATCATAGCATTAGCACTGACAAGACCTTCTTATTGTTTAGAAATCTGCGTGTACTTAATTTAACATCTTCGTGCTTATAAATTGCACATGCCTATATTGCAACCTTGGCCAAAGTTGCTTCAATTTGCTCATTATACGGGTTTTTAAAAAAATGGATCTGCTTTTCATATATTTTTCCGTTCTTTTCTTCTATTATTTTTTCTTTTGTCAAACAATAAAAAAAAATTTGCTGACCGTCAATTATTTAGGCGGGTATAGTGAGCAAATTTATGGGTACCAACATCGTTTTCTCTATGAAAATAGGTATGATCTTCTTGGCATGTATGGATTTTATTTATAAAGTATGATTTTGGCACTGTAGTTTGGATGAAGTTCCAATTTGGTAAAAGTTTCCATTCTCGCGATATAACACTGAAGTTTATTACAGTCTACGTACAAACAAAGACATCTTTACCTGTAGCTCTTTTGCTGACTTTCTGGCATATATGTAGCCAATTGTATTCAACGTATCAACACCTGTAAGCTGTAGAAAACAGACCATATCACTGAAATTTATATTCAAAAGCTTAGGAAATAATCATAGAAACAGCTCCATCAGATATTAATCACATTAGCATATCGTAAAATCAGTTCCTACATCTTGAGCAACGAACTACTGCTCAGCAATTTTTTCACCTTCAAAAGGCAATGAACTGTTGGGCATAGTTTGGACGATAGTCCCCATTAAACGTCTCACAGCATAATATACTATTGAAATTGGATGCAGTAACAGTATTTATTTGACTTTACAGGAATGCCATCCATGATGAAATCATAAAATGAGTAGCTAAATTACAAGCCAACAAAATTTCTTTTTCCTCAATAAGTTACTAAAAGACACCAAGTACACTACTGACAGACAAATCTTATAAGACATGAATCAAATTGGCATGTAAGTGCAGACAGAGAAGCAGAATTTTTTTTCTTGCTTGCACAATCTATAATGAGAAGGGAAGGTAATAGATCCAGCAACAAATAACACTCTCAAACCAATTGAGGACGACAAATTTCTATTACTAACATGTAAGACAATTCAAATACCTCGCGATGTGCTCCAAGTTCTCTATGTTTCTCTATTGAATCTTGTCCACCAGAAAATGCATACCTGTTTATCTGCGTACATGCACACAAATTCTTTATTTTGTTAATCCTGAAGAATTTTTGGACCATTTGGACTGTGTGATTTCAGGTAGAAAAATTTGGCACTGTGAAACTACGGTTTGGTGGTGTGGGAAAGCTAAGAAAAGAGTAGATGATGGTTTCGGAAAAGGAAGACAGCTATATATTTGAAGAAATAGAGAAGCATGTTTTTCACTGAGAGTTTAAAAGGTTACAATTTGAAACCTTGCATCAATTGAAGACTTTGGCCCTAGAATCAGAGAATCGATAATGATTGTGCAAGAGTCTCAGTAAATAGAAAGGTCGTGCAAATAAACCCAAAGCAACAGCAAACCCAAACCTTGTTCTTAATTTCCTTTGCAGAATCAGTTACATAAATGGCAGAATTTGGATCACTGGGTTAGTGAGGATAAATAAACAAAACAGTACCCGCATTTTCTCTTGCAGCTTTTTGGGATCGAACCGCTCCCCTTCTGAGAAAATATCTAGTGAAGCCATTGATGCCATGGCTAGCTGGCCAATATATTCCTCAAAAAGCTCACTACCAAAAAGCATAGCGAAGATTGCTGCAGGATCAATAATTGAGTCGCTGAAAGAAAGGGAACCATTCAAAAAATGTCAGAAACACGCAACTATGTGTTAAGCTAACACACACATACACTGTGACAAATGCAGGCAACCTATGAGGTGCGTGTCAGACACCTTTCAATCTTAGAATTCATAAATTCACAGATTAAGAGCAAGAAACTAACGTTGAGATCCCTGATTTTCCAAAAGCATCGTATGCTTGGTGTTGGCCTGGGTCACTTAAGACTTGGTAAGCTTCTCCCAAAACCTGAATCCAGGGGTACTGCCCCAAGAGTTGTGCATACCGTCATTACAATAGACAGAGGAACATCCCCTTGAGCAATTAAGGTCACCTGAAAGGCTATTTCATACAAAGCATTGAATGGAGTTGAATAAATGGGCTAGGCGGGGGCTAGGCGGGCTAGGCGGGCTAGGCGGGGTCTAGGCGGGCTAGGCGGGGTCTAGGCGGGCTAGGCGGGGTCCAGGCGGGCTAGGCGGGAGCTAGGCGGTCCAGGCGGGCTAGGTGGAGCTAGGTGGTCTAGGCAGGCGCTGAAGAGAGAGAGAGAGAGAGAGAGACGAGGATGACGACGGAGTTATGTTTAGGGTTTAGAAATGGGCCGCACGGCTATATTATTTTTTATAATAAAAAACCGTAGTATAGCCGTTCGGCTATACGATTGATTAAAATTTTGAGCCTTAATATTGCTAACTCCTAAAATTTTGAGGTGGGTCACAACGCACAAGTCGGCAATCAAAATTTTAGGAGTTAGCAATATAAGGCTCAAAATTTTAATAAATTGTATAGCCGAACGGCTATACTACGGTTTTTTATTATTAAAAATCGTATAGCCGGGCGGCCCTTTTCTAAACCCTAAACATAACTCCGTCGTCATCCTCGTCTCTCTCTCTCTCTCTCTCTCTCTCTCTCTCTTCAGCGCCTGCCTAGACCGCCTAGCTCCTCCTAGCCCGCCTGGACCGCCTAGCTCCTCCTAGCCCGCCTAGACCGCCTAGGGCCCGCCTAGCGCCGCCTAGCCCGCCTAGCCCCGCCTAGCCCCGCCTAGCCCCCGCCTAGCCCGCCTGGCCCCCGCCTAGCGCCCGCCTAGCCCATTTATTCAACTCCATTCAATGCTTTGTATGAAATAGCCTTTCAGGTGACCTTAATTGCTCAAGGGGATGTTCCTCTGTCTATTGTAATGACGGTATGCACAACTCTTGGGGCAGTACCCCTGGATTCAGGTTTTGGGAGAAGCTTACCAAGTCTTAAGTGACCCAGGCCAACACCAAGCATACGATGCTTTTGGAAAATCAGGGATCTCAACGTTAGTTTCTTGCTCTTAATCTGTGAATTTATGAATTCTAAGATTGAAAGGTGTCTGACACGCACCTCATAGCGCCCGCCTAGCCGCCTAGCTGCCCGCCTGGGCCGACTTTTCAAACACTGCGATTGACTGAAAGTCTGAAACCCGAAATTGAAAAAATTTAGCTGCAAATTTGAGCTTGAGATTGCAAGGGAAGCTGCCCCATTTGTGGATCCTGCTGTTTTGGTGGAAACTTATGAACAAGAGGAATGTGTCGATGATCTTGAAGGGGATGATCGGATTCAATCTGCGCTTGCTCACATTGTGACGCACGCACTTTTGAAGATGCTCCTGGACCTGGTAACATATATATACCTTTGATGTTACTTGCAATGCATTTATGCTTTTGGACTATTTTGATTGAATTGTGCTTAGGTCTTTTAAGTATCTTGTTGTGTCTTGAAGTTTGTGAATTATATCAGTTGATATACCTGAATGTGGTCTGAATACATAACAAATCCAAAAATATATATATAAAAAAAGCTACTATCTTTCTAATATCTTATCCCTACATGGTTGATTTTTTTTTGTCTCTCTATTGTTCTGTCTTCCACCATCTCCTCTCTAAAAATGGGCAAGTAATTCACCTTCAAAGGTTTTGCCTTATTAGTTTTTCCTTAACAGTTCTGGAGATCCGTTGCATTCATCTTGTTTGGGTGTTCCTTATTAAATAAGTTGCAGGTTTGATATTTGCCCTTTCAATTCCTCCTTTATGCTCAGATTATGCAAAGAAAGAATTTCATATTAGAATGCTTTTCAATCCAACTTCCTCTGGTAATACTTTCTTGTCTCAAAGCCTGAATTTTGTCAAGCACAATTGAAATATGTGATATATATATATATATGTGTGTGTGTGTGTGTGTGTGTGTGTGTAGTATTCACTCCTTTTTTCGTTTATTCATCACTGTGTGTGTTATGGTTGTAGACAAAATGCAGTTCCTCAATGATATTATGAACTCAGGAAGCTTCTGTTACAAGTTTCCCTCCTTAATAATCTACATTATGTATTTGATTTTAGTCTAATCTTCTTCTTTTTACAGCAAGTGGAGGAGGCATTTGCTTTCTGGGGTACTCCAGAAGGTGATCTGGTCCATCCTGCAGCAGTACTGGAGACAGTTAGGCGTCATAGAGTCAATGTCGATGGCAATGTCTGTACTGTCATGGTAACCACTTTGGTTCTTGAGGTAATTTCTTTTTCCTTTATCTATTGCAGCCAAGGCATGGAAATTCTCTTATGAAATTCTGTAATCTTCGCAATATAGGCATGTGAAATTTATAAGCACAAAGACATTAAATTAAAGCACACGTAGATTATTAAGTTGTCTTTTCTTTATTTGTTTTTCTGCTTTTTTCTGTTGGCCATATATCCTTTACTCCTTTCTCTTCTCTTTATAAATTTAATTTAATTGTCTCAGAAAAACAAATATGATAGTTTTTTGTATTATATAATAGGTTTACCATGAGTAGCAGAAATAGACAATTACTGATATCTTATACAAATCTGAGAGGCAATTTGCTCCAATTTATATTATCATTGGTGTGATCATCAATTAACTGATCTTATACAAATCTCATCACTGGTTATGTTTTGCAGGGATGGCAGCGGAAACTTGATCCCAGGTACAATGTGATGCAAACACTGCTTCTCAAAGCTGACTGAGGGGCTAATGGCTCCATAAGAAGGTCTTGTCAGTGCTAATGCTATGATTACTAAACAATTTTGACAGTTATAAAATCCAAAATATACCAATCCCAAGAAGTGGACATGAACATTTAGATCTTTATTCATTTTTTTTTGTTTGTTTGGTTTTGGAAATTGCAATACATTTTGAAGGTTCAATCCTTCGGTATTTAGTTTGTTTAAAGAAAACAATTCACATGTAAAAACAGTAGAGAGGTAAAAGACAGAAATAAAATAGAATTCTGTTCTTTTTTGGTAACCTTGATGTTCCTGAATCTTCCCGTTCTCCTCTATTCTAGATGTGTTCATTTGTTCTAGATGCTTGCAAAGATAGGGTATATCATTTGTTGTTAGGCTATGTTCCTGCGTAATATGATGGTCCATTTTGCATCTTTTGGGTCTTGGAAAAATGTCAGTAATCTGTTTGCTTATCTTTGAGTTTTCTTGGGCTGTAACAGGATATATTAGTGTACTTGATTTTTTATTTTGGTTCTATGACTTGTTTCAATTTTGTTTTCCACTTATGTTGTTTCAGATTTCATGAAGGCTTGCTTTCCAGTGAGCAAGGTGCCTACATTGCAGAGTCTATCGCTGCTAAGAACATGAAACAAGCGAAGAGCCGTTTTCGGATATATGAGGATGCCACAGTACCAATCAGTTTCTCTTTTATTCATTTGGACTAATTGTTTTAGAAACTTATTGTTCAATTTTTTTGGCTGTTGCATTTGTTTTTGTTCCCAGGATCATGGTGGTTTATTTATTTATTATACACTTTCACGTTTCCCTACCTCCCTCTCCCACTTCCCAACGTTTTTTTATTTCCTTTTTTTTGTCTGAACTTCCCAAGGTTGCAGATACATGCAACCTGCCTTCTCTTTCTCTTTTGGGCATTCACCCATCTCTCCCTTTTTATTTTATTTATTTATTCTACACACTCTCTCTCTCTCTCTTTCTTCTTCTATCTCTCCGTCTCTCTCCCTCTCTTTCTCTTCTTCCTCTTCCCTCTTCTCTTTCCTCCATCACAATCCAAAACAGTAAAATATAAAGACCCACTCCATACGTTTTTCCCTCTTATTCCCTTCTCTCTCTCGCTCTCCTCTATCTGTTTTTTTTTCCTTTCTTTTTCTATCTCTCCGTCTCTTTCCCTACTTCCTCTTCCCTCTCTCGCTTCATCACAATCCAAAACAACAAAATATACAAAGCCACTCCATAATTTTTTTTCTTCCTCTTCTTCCCTTCTCTCTCGCTCTCTCTTTCTTTTTTTTTTTTTTTTTTTTTTTTTTTTTTGTGAGTTAGGATTGGGAGTTGAGAAGATAGAGAGAAGGCTGAGTTTCGGAGGCTGAGGGATTCATCTGAAGGATGAGTTTAATTTTGTAAGTTCATATCGCGATATATTGTTCATTTAAAGCTGCAACTTGAAGGAAAATATTGTTACTGAAATATCGGCGAAATTATCGATAAATTGACAATATATATATATGGGAATGTGCTAAAATATCGTTGACCCAAAAAATGATAATTTCACCGAAATATCGGCGAAATTATCAATATTTTGTTCTATGGATGGTATAACAGCTTTAGATGCGGAAACCATTTGATCGAAAGCTCTAGTTTCCTCTTTAAGGAAGGTAGGGGAAGGGCAAACCTCATTTGCCTTGTCACATCAACATTTTCATGCTTTAAAGAAAGAGGTAAATGGATGGACAAAATACACATATTCCTCCCAACAAGGTAATATTGCATACTTCAAAGTGAAAGGGTATATTGAACCCACTTGCTTTTTATAATAAAATATCATCTCCACTCTCTCATCTACTTTCTATAAAATATAATTATAATTGTAAAAATAAAAGATACAAGTAAATAATAATGATTTGTGCACTTGTATTGTCTAATCCCTTGGAGTGATTAACTTTTTTCATGAGGCAAATAGGTAGGCAACTTCCTTGGAGAGGCTCTTAGCTAAGCCAATGATACACCTTAAAATCACCAATTCATCGACGAAACAATATAGAAGTTTGTGTGTTATCATCGACCATTTGATTAAGAGCATTTCCAGTAGTGGAGTCTGGGGGAGGGCGGGGGGGGGTGTTTGGGATAAAAACTTGTTTCCAGCAGTGGGGTTTGGGATAAAAACTCGTTTCCAGCAGTGGAGGCAGGCCTGGGCGCGATGGTGGGACCCAGCAAAACGGGCTGGCCCGAGCTCCAGCCTGTGGTTTGGGTGACGTCATCGTGACGCCAGTGCTACAGTGTCCGCCAACGATTATGTGCCATGTGTCGTGTCCTGGGCTCTTCGATCATTATTTTTGCTCCAATCCAACGGCAGCCAATATTTTTGTAATAAAAAATTGAAAAAAAATCCAAAAAAATTACTTCTTTTTTCTTTTTCTTTTTTTCTCTCTATACCTTATTTTCATTTCCAACATTTAAGTAAATGTCTTTGTCCTTTTACTTTTATTTATTTTTATATTACTCCATTTACTTAAGTTTACAATGTAAATAAGGAAGTAGGCCTGGGCACGGTTCGGGTCGAGTCCAATTTTGAGTGACCCGCTGGGCCAAACCGAGTAGGATATCGGTTCTCGAGTTGGGTTGGGTCCAAACTTAAAACCGAAAATGAGCCGACTCGATAGGCTCCGATTCGGTTATGGCTTTTTTGTCGGTTTTGGGCTTTAGCCCAACATTAATTGTTTAAGCCCAACTCACTTTTTTTGGGCCAAAATCTTTTTTTTTATAGGTAAAATTGCCAAAACCTAATTAGTTTATTTATCCAAAAGCCCAATTTTGTTAGTTTTTTTTTACAATGCCAATTTTTCAAACAGGCCATCCCTTAAAGCCCATTTCATTTTTCCTTACCCAAATCATGTAAATTCAACTCAACTATAACCTGCTTTTTTAAAGTTTCTAAACTAAATCACAATCACAAGCATCATCCAACTATCAAATTAGTTGTTTCTTACAAGTTACATCCCAAGCCATGACAAAAAATACAAGTAAAGCACCAAATTATATTTTACAACCCATAAAAAAAATACAAGTAAAACACCTAATTAGATTTTAAAGACCAAACACATTCACTTGTATGATTGTATCAGTTAAGGGAGCTGCAAAAAAAATATACACTTGTATCAGTCAAAAATCACTCACCAAACAACCATAATCATACTCCAACTCGATAGTTAATTTCACAAAACAAAAAAAAAAAAAAAAAAAAGAAAGTTTGCAGTTTTTGTCTCAAATCATTTAAACATATCAAAACAAGTTATAGCACCTCAATCAACTCAAGTACACAGATCAAAACACTCCTTAATCAGTTATCATTCAAAACATCTTATAAGCTCTGTTGTTTCATTTTATTAAGAAATCTATTTCAGCCAAGGCAAACCAAATAGCAAGGAATGCCTTAATGTCCCCCAACCCCAATACTTCAAGATGTTAAATTTTTATTTCCATCAATATTTAATCAACCAAATACAAAATGAAGCATCAAATATCAATCCCATCGAAACAGCAGCATGTCTATCTATAACCACACAAAAATGTCATAACCAAAATCTCATTAACATCAAACATATTTCAGAACCAATATATCATGAACATCAAGCAAGCAAATTTTCAGAACTCACCACCGCTAGCACTGAGTCAGATTCATCCATAATCACCACCACATTGTAGTCACAACAGACTTTTATCCAAGTCCTTACCACAAAGACGCACATATAAAGTTAAAAACAACATACCATTGATTTGGATTAAAGAAAAATTAGAAATAGCATAGGGTTTATACAGTGTTTTAAAAGGCACGCATCAAATATCAGTCCCACCGAGCAGTAATCTTCACTTTTGTCAAATATCCATACTTTTTCAAAGTTAAAATAAAAAGATGCCGTTTTTTTTTATTTTTCCCTACAGATCAACCAATGGGTACTCAAAGTGAAGAATATTGAAGATAAAAGTGAAGATATCACCAAGCAGTTATATTCACTTTTGTCAAATACTTCAAGCTAAACTGAAATTTCATATTAGTGAGCAAATCACAAATAGCCATCAAACTATATTTAAAATATTGAAGAATTGATGAAACTGAAAGCAAAAGAACTAAAATCCATCAGACCTGAAAGCTCGATCTAGGTCTTCAGCTATGGGGGATTGCTGTCAAGGTGCTTCTGGTTCCTCCTTGTCACAAAGAGAGGTGCAGAGCGCGAGAGAGGAGAGGGTGAGGTGAGAGAGAGAGAGGTAGAGGGGGTGAGTGAGACAAGAGATAGAGAGAGCGACGATGACGCCATAGCGGTAGCCATCGCCGTCAATTTGGTGAGGACGACAGGAGCAGTGAGATCGAGAGAGAGGCGGCGAGTGTGAGTTAGGGCTGAAAGAGAGAGAGACGAATGAGAGTGAACGAGTTAAGTTAGGTTACTTTGTGAGGGTAATGATCCAGTGCAAGCAGACTCCACATAAACTCTTCTTTAAGCCAATCAGACAATGACACATGGAAAATGCATATATAATTAAATATTATGCGGTTTGGTTCAGGTCAACCGGTTTAAATTTTTTTTAGACCCGAAGCCTGAATTGAAGTTAACGGTTCGGGTCAGGTCCAGCGTTGACTTTTTGGTTTGGTCAAAAAAACCTCCTTTTTCAGTTTGGTTTGGTTTGGTTCAGTCGGTTCATTCGGTTTATCGGTTTTTATGCCCACCCCTATAAGGAAGTACCCCCCATTTGGATTCAAATAAAAATATTAGAAAATCAAATTCCCACCAAATCAAAATATGAAAAATCGGTTTTAGTGCAAAATACGATTTAGGCTAAAAATGATGGCTCATTAAGTCAATATATACTTCATATTAAAATCCCATAAAATCAAGTTTTTTTATTTGATGTGTAAGGAATAAAAGCCACCAAAAATTATCTTGAGAAAATGATTATTCCGAAAAACCATTTTTCATTCTTAGTCAATATTGAACCTCCGCTAAAAATCTTGAGAAAATGATTTTTCATACGTAGGAACCCAAAAATCTTATCCGAAAATATTATCCAAATTAATTGTTTAAGTAAACAAAGTTGTGAAAAAAAACAAAAAAAAAATGAATAGTATTTGCTATGGCAAGCCTAAACTGTTGGAAACACATTTTGCTGGGGAGTATGGTAGCCACTATTCATGTGAATAGTAGCTGCCCTAGAGCTCCCCTTGCCATGACAAGGGAATAACTGGTGGAAGCGCTCTAACATCTCACATAAGGCAAGTTCCTTTTTGGAAAAAAAAAAAATAAAGGTATAGACGACATTATGGCCATTTGCCGTTCACATTAAAAAGGTTTCATCTTTTAATGACAATGGTGTAAATACATTTTGTTCATAGTGAAATGGAGTGAAACATGTCGTATGTCTTTTACTTGGTAAATAGCCTTATCTTATATGTCTCGAGGACAGAAAAATTGTCTTTTAACCTTGGGCTTCATAACTACAAGTCTGCTCCTGTCTCCCTCTCAACCTTGTTGCTGGATGATGATCTAGGAAGAGCCCAAAGTAGGGCTTTGCCTTATTAGTTTTTTCTTTTTCTTTTTCGGCCTGCCTTGTAACCCCCAAAAAAAAAATTAAAAACACTGTCTTTTAACAAGAAATTTATGGGACATTTTGGAAAAAGCAAAGGAGAGAGAAAATTTTTAAAAGAAGCAAAAATGGACAAAAATGCCCTTATTTATTTTTAGATTTCCTAAGGAATCCAATATATTTGCATGTCTTTGATTTGAAAGTTGAGCGGTTTTTTTGTCTTTTTTGAAAAAACTTTGGCTTTTTCCAAAAGTGAAATTTTTTTTATGTCTAAAACCTAAAAAACCTTATAAGAGTTGCGTAAAAAACCCAATTTGGTCATGGACTCATGGCAGCCTTGGAGTTGGGGTGTCTCCACTCTCATCATGCTTTGTTCTTTTCTATAAACAGAAAACAGAATAGCAGATTGAGATACCATTTCAAGTTTTCCTTTTAATATTGTTTCTAATTTTATAGAATTAATTTTTTTTTTCTTGTTTGATACATGGCGTGAAGATTGTATTGACATTGATAATATAATTAATCTTTTTTTTTCCTGTTTAATCTTTATACAAAAATTACGGTATCAATGATGCGAAAAGTCGGAGCCCTGACAAACGCAGCCAACATACTTTATATATATGAAGAGTTTTAGCTCCCTCTTGTTTCTGTGTACCAACTGTTAAGGCAGTGTTCAGAGGGTCTCAATTCATCTTCGACCAAACAAAATCTACCAAAGCTAGTTCTAACCTTCAAGTCTTAGTTCTTTCTTGTCAAAGAGAGAAAGAGGGCAGGCTAGCTATGAATATGGAAGGCACGCCGGCTCTCCATGGATACTACATGCCTGCAGAGTGGGAACCCCATTCACAGTGTTGGATTGGATGGCCTGTAAGTAATCCTTCTCTTTGATTTATCTCACGTCACGTGCCTTACTGGGTTTCAACATTTTTCATGTTTATGGGTAAGAATTCTGTTGTTCAGGCTGACGGGTCTTTGAGAATCTTGTGTTTTCAAATACCTTTTCTTTTTGTTATTGCTAAGTTTCATTTGGAGCCCTGCCAATTCGATTGATATGTCCTCTTGTTATTGCGAAGTTGATGCATTTGTGAAATTATGAGTTACAAGTTATTTGGAACAGCCAGGTTTTTAGTACAGATTTTGCCTGCTTTGACATCATATTAGATAACTGATGCCTGAAAGCTATTAGAGCATATTGAGATATGTTTCTGCATTTTCTATGTAATTCTCAATTCTGCATCTTTCTGCAATTTAAAGTATTATACGTGCATCTAGTGATCTATGCTGTATATCAGGTGTCCTTACAATTTAATGCTAGTTTCTCTTATATTGGTGTCACTCTCATTATTTATGTAGTAGATCGATTAGTTTTATTTCAATCTTTTCTAGTCATCTCTTATCATCAATCTTAACATTCTCATTTCCTTGATGCATTGATCTTACTTTTGTTTTAATCCCAACATTCAATCTTAGTTGAGTCTATTATGACAATAAATCTTCATTTTGAGTTATAGGAACGCCCAGATAACTGGAGAGACAATGCAGTGCCTGCTCAACAGGTGTTTGCCAAGGTCGCATCTGCAATCTCAAAGTTTGAGCCTGTGACTGTCTGCGCAAGTGCCGCTCAGGTTGGTATAATTTGTAAGAGATGAAAGTCTTTAGTATCTCTATTAGTCTTTTATATTATTCTCATATGAGATTTAATTTTGAATGTTTGCACTCAGTGGGCTAATGCACGAAGTCAGCTACCAGAAAATATCAGGGTTATCGAGATGAGCTTGAATGATTCTTGGTTCCGTGATACAGGGCCAACAGTGAGCTTCTTCCCTTGACTCATCTTAGAAATTCTGATCAGATATTCATTAGTAGGATACTAAGATTTTTATGTTAACCTTTAAAGCTGTTTTCTTTTCTTCTTACAATGTTAATATTTGTCTTCTGTTTAGTTTGTCATAGGAATAAGTGCATCCTCTTCTTCTACCCCAGAGCCAAAGGTTGCTGGTATTGATTGGAACTTTAACAGTTGGGGAGGTAGGGTTTATAGTTATTCCGAGCTGGTGCCTTTTATGAAATGGTACTGTTTTCTATAGATGCCATTGTATAATCCATCTTTCACGCAATGGAACACTATAATCTTTTTTTGAACAACACAAAATATTGTTAGAAACTTTGATGCTTTAAGAGTATAATTTCATGATTTAAATGTTTACTCATCGGTACATTTTACATGGACCCATTCTTGGAATTGATAGGCATTGATGATGGTTGTTACCGAGACTGGAGTCATGACCTTCTTGTGGCACGGAAGGTTAGAGTAACTGAATAGATCGTAGTTTGATTATACATGATCTGTAGCTTTGCTTTTTGGAAACACTGCTTAATGGTTTTCCTAACACTCATAATCTGCAGATCCTGGCAGTTGAGAAGCTTCCAAGGTTTCCACACTCAATGATTCTCGAAGGTGGAAGCATCCATGTAGATGGAGAAGGTAACAAAATTTTAGACTTATCATTTAGCATTAGAAAAGTTCTTACCTCTAAGCAAATATTAAGTTAGAATTGGCTTTCACCAGCAACAGAATTCCTTCTGGATGCCAAAGCAGTTCATGCCTTAAAATTGTTTTAAATCATAAACGTATGTGATACTCTGGTCGTGGTAGTGATCTGTTCTTTCTTGAATTATGTGCCAAAACCCGTGCTTTTGATACTATAGACTTTACCTTGTATCTCTTTCTTTTTCTTGTTTCTTTCCTTTACGAAATGAATTGGCGATGCCTGGTTATGATGTATTGGAAGTTGCACTACCATGTGCCCCATCTTGTGCAAGTTCAGAACCTTGCATATTTTTTCCTTTCAGCACAAAAATTACCATTAAAAAACTCATTCCCTCTGCAAGTATAGTAGTTATCTTTATGATTTAACCATAACTTACTTTCTTCCTTCAGGGACTTGCCTCACCACCGAGGAGTGCCTCTTAAATAAAAACAGGAACCCAGATTTGACCAAGGAGCAAATAGAGGATCAACTTAAGGCATACCTTGGAGTGAGGAAAGTTATTTGGTTGCCTCGTGGATTGTATGGTAAGATGTCTGCTTGGTTACTAACTCACTATCTTACATGTTACTAGTTTAATTTTCTTTCACAATGAGATGCTCTGTGCTCTTCTTTTGCCCTTGCAATGATTTACATTACGTGGTCTGGCTGCATGTGCATATAATCGATAAAGCTCAGGTCACTTATTTTAATTAAAACCTAAACTACCTACAAAAATGCTTGACAGGAGACGATGACACTAATGGTCACATCGACAATATGTGCTGTTTTGTGAAGCCTGGTGTGGTTTTGTTGTCCTGGACTGATGATGAAAAGGATCCTCAGTATGAAAGAGCTGTGGAAGCCTTTTCTGTTCTCTCTAATACTACTGATGCCAATGGTAGGAAATTAGAAATAATTAAACTTCATGTACCTGGGCCACTGCACATGACAGATGAAGAGGCTACTGGAATTTTTCAGGTAAACATTCTACTGCAGACTACAAACTACGGTTCAGCTTTCATGAAGCATCAACTAACTCTCTCAAATGTCCTGGACTTTTTTTTTCTTTTAAATGCCACTGCTGTCCATATTTATCTAGATGGCATATCCCAAATTAAAAATGCAAAACAGTCACAGGCCTTTTCCTTAATGCCCTTGTTCGTCCAGTTGACCTCTTCCTTCCAATGCTTGATAAAGTGTTTCATTCTTTTTGTTTAATTAATAGTTTTTGCCTCTATTTTATTCTGGCACTCTATGTTTTCATCTTAGAAATCAGCACTTCCCAGAGAAACGCAGAAAGTTAAATGCATTCATTTTACCTTTTTCTGTCTTTATATATAATTGAGTAACCATATATTTCTCCTTGGACGTTGACAGTGGGGATTGATAAGAGTTTTAATTCCTTACTCCTCATTTCAATATATCATGCTATTGAAACTCAGCTCTACATAGACTAGTTACCCCTTTTATTTTGTAATATTTCAAACGAATTGAATTTCAAAATGTTATGGTGCATTGTTTTATTCCTGGTGTTCAATGTTTCTTCTATAGGAGGACTGTGAAGCTAAACCGAGACTTCCAGGCACAAGACTTGCTGCTTCATATGTAAATTTCTACATTGCCAATGGAGCAATCATTGCACCCCAATTTGGGGACCAGAAATGGGATGATGAGGCTGTTCGTGTCCTATCTCAAGCCTTTCCAAACCATGAAGTAAGCTATTGCTTTTTCTCCAGCATCTTCTTATATAATTACGTGCAGGTGGTGAATTTGAGAAGAATGGTTTGCTGTAGGATAATATATAATTGTATACCAAGTTCAGTGGTCCAAAAGTTTGAACTTATTGGAGCTGCAGATTATAAAGCCTCATCCTTAGAAAGTAAATATAATAGGATACAGAGCGGTCTCTTTTGAAATGCAATGGGAAACAAACAAGACTGGTTTCATATAATGTGCAGATTAAAAAGGATTCATTTTCTTCTATCTTTATTGAATGTTCATTTCTGCTATGTGTTTCTATTGCTGAACAAGCCTGTTCTAATGTTGGTATGGCTTGGGTTGTCTCAGGTGGTAAGAATTGAAGGTGCAAGGGAGATTGTTCTAGCGGGTGGAAATATACATTGCATCACTCAGCAACAACCACGCATTCCACACAGTATCGTCAACCACGATTGATTTCGTACATACATCGTCAGTGCAGACAGAGCATTTGTGTGGGATTAAGCTAAAAGATGAATCACATAGCTTGATTTATCAGTTACATTTGTTTCAGGTCCATAAGCTGGTGGGAGACAAGCTTAAGCTTCTCCAATTTGTACTATTATAGAATATTGATTGACACAGATACAGACGATGGCTTGTAAGCCTCCAGAACCAGATTATAGTTCTGACTGTGAAGTTGCATAAGTGTACCAAATTATAGTTTGGCCAACTCAGGTTTCAGCGGCAGATCAGTTTTTCTTTTTTAACTGGATAACAATGATGACATCTTAGAAATGTTAGCAACATTTGTTTGGCTAGACAAGTTTTCTTGACCAAAAGAAAAAATGGCTGTGCAAATTTGAGAACGTATGTGTAGTCCAAATTTTAACTTTGAGTTGTGGGTTGACTAATTTGATCGTTCATCATGCATCTAGGGAGCCCACCCCCCACGCCTAAGTTTTAAATGCTGTGATACCAAACTCTCGACATACAACTTATGCAATTTCCCAAGAGAAACAGGATCTGGTAAAAAAAGGAAACAAATAAATACAATTGACTATTTTAACTAATGTAGAATGTTGTCAATGATGGACGAACATATTTGTGACTCAAAATTTTAATTTAAATATATATTTTTTTAAGATGGCAACCCTAAATTGAACATTGTAAGCAAAATAAAAAGTAGCGAAGGTTGGTTTGGTTCTACATAACCGAAAAAAATGGAGGGGAAGTGAGAGTGACTCAAAGAAAAAAATACAGTACCAAAAAACATCCATGTGTTTGGCTGAGATTTGAGAGATCCAACACCAAAATAACTTGAAAGAAAGAAAAAGACAGATGGATGCCCAAACATAAAATAAAGATTCAAGGCCACGATCACACTCAAACTCTCATTACCTCATTGACGGATTGATATGAACTCAGGTTTTCGAACCTGATTTCGTTTCTCTCCTTTCTTGTTTATTTATTTGAGACGAGGAACAGCTGAACGAGTACCAGATGGGTTGTACATTCTCTGGTTTGAACGCTCTCTACGATGCCGTTAACGGGGGAGGTGACGTGTGGATCAATGAGACTCGGTTCAAAATCGTGAGGCAGCTCGGGGAAGGTGGGTTCGCCTATGTGTTTTTGGTCAAGGAGGTGGTCTCTGACTCCTCTGCCTCTGGTGGTGGTGGTCTCGCTAAGAAATTCAAGGACCCCTCTCATGTATCAGGTGTGATTTATCTCTCCTTCACCTTGATTCAATTTCTGGGCTTTTGTTCATTTTCGTTATGCTTATGGGATTTTGGGATCTGGGTCGTTTGTATATGAGTCCTGTAATGGTTGTATTTGGTTTAGTATTTGTATGGAAGTGATCTGCTTTGAATTTTGTGATCTGGGTGCACTGATGCGAATTTGAAATGGTTAAAGTTTGAATCTTTGAGCCCAGGTGTGGTTTTTTGCTTTGGGAATTAGTGATCTGGGTCTTTTGAGCATGAATTTGAAATGATTGTTTTTGGTTCTCTCAGCTGGGAAACAATAGTGATTTTGCCATTGAATTTCTAAATTGAGTTTAAATTGTGACTCATTCGTTCCAACTTCAATCTTCGAATGGTTCCAGGTGGTAGAATGCATTAATTGTTAGATGATATGAATGTTGGATCTATGAATCTATGGCGTTGTTTTGATATTTTGGTATCTTAGAATGCGGGGACCTTGGCCAAGTAGTTCAATGAATAATGTTTTTGAGATTTGGCCTTCATGCTCTTATCTGTTGTGCATTCTTGATGCTCCAGTGACTGGATGGTCAATTTGCAACTCAACTTTGGAAATGATTTCAGCTTGCTTTTACTCTATTCTTTTGTAGATGATGGAACTTATGCTATGAAAAAAGTTCTCATTCAGAATAGTGAGCAGTTGGAGTTGGTGAAGGAGGAGATCCGAGTTTCATCACTGTTCAGTCATCCTAATCTGCTTCCACTTCTTGATCATGCCATTATTTCCGTTAAGGTTAAGATCTGGAATACTTAATTTGATACAGCTCATAGCTTACTTTAGGTGTTTTCTTCTCATACAATTTGACTTTTAATAGCCTGTCAAAATTTTCATTGTTTTCACTTTTCTGTGCAATTGATTCGTTTATAATATTTTGTTTGGTTGACAGCCTACACAAGAAGCGTCTTGGAACCATGAAGCATACTTGTTATTTCCAGTTCATCTGGATGGAACATTACTGGACAATGCCAAGACTATGAAGACTAAAAAGGAGTTCTTTTCCACCTCAGATGTTCTTCAAATATTCCGGCAGGTGAATTCATCCCCTTTTTTTTTCCCATTTAATTTGACATTTATCTTTTGAAAAGAAGGGTCACTTTTCCATATTTGAAAAGCAGTCAAACAGGGGCTACCGTTATAGTGCTTACTGTAGATAACCATACGGCATTTTAACTTCTTATTAAGCGATGTATATAAGCTGAAGATAAGCCTGCAACAATGCTACCAAGTTCTGCTGTAATTGATGTGCCATGTTCCAGTTGCTTTAACCACAATGATTTATTTTCTAGGATTAGTAGTGCTAGAAGCATCAAAAGCATTTTAACTTAGAAAAATCAATGCCATAGATTTGTGCAGGACTCAAGCATATGCACAGTTTTGATCCCCCATATGCGCATAATGATATCAAACCTGGAAATGTTCTGATAACTCATAGAAAGGGACAACCACCTCTTGCTATATTGATGGATTTTGGCAGTGCTCGACCAGCAAGGAGGCAAATTCGCTCTCGTTCAGAGGCACTTCAGTTGCAGGTATATATATTTTTAAATCAATCTCTATTCTCTACATACGCTTTTGTATTTTCTGGAATAAATGCAAAGTTTTTCAGTATGCTTAATGCATGCCTACAAGCTGATGTCTCTTTGGTTAATTAAATTAGTTTAGTGTCTTAAAAGAAGGCACCTTTGTGTGTTAATTACACCTTTTGTAAAGGTGCTCAACCAATATATGGGGATTAGCATGAGGTTTGGGTCTTCTCTTGTCTGCTAACTTTTAGATGAAAAAACTATTGAAGAGATGGTTTTTCTTGCTTGTTATGTAGGAATGGGCGTCTGAGCACTGTTCAGCACCATTTCGAGCTCCAGAGTTGTGGGATTGCCCAAGCCATGCAGATATTGACGAAAGAACTGATATATGGTCCTTAGGATGCACTTTGTATGCAATACTGTGAGTACTGAACCTTCTTTCTCGCAGTTACTTTTATAGTTCTGAAGTTTGAGCATCATATTGATCGTATACCTTCTGTCTTCCAAATTTTGATAAAATTTGCTATACCTTATTTCTTGCACTTAATGCCTTATTTTTATTTAAAGGTATGGAGTATCTCCATTTGAATATGCACTTGGAGAATCTGGAGGAAGCCTACAATTGGCAATAGTCAATGTGCAGATAAAGTGGCCAGCTGGTCCTAAGCCTCCATATCCAGATGCTCTTCACCAGTTTATTACATGGATGCTTCAGCCGCAGGCTGCAGTCCGTCCTCGCATTGATGATATCATAATACATGTGGACAAGTTGATCTCCAAGTTCTCTCAGTGAGATAATATAGAAGGAAAGAAAGTATGAAATGAGCTCTTTGCTCATTTCAGCAAAGCTTCTAAAAGTCAGCCATCATGCCTCTTCTTTTCTACTTCAGAGTCAATAGGGCAATTGAATTGATAGCAGTTCCCTCTCCAGTATTACACATTACATTACATTTTGCAGTAGGTTTGGCAGTTTGTGCATTGGTTGAATGTTAATGTACTCTTCTGTCTCAACTATTTAATTTTGAACTTGTAATTTGTGAAACTGTGCTTCTCGCCTGGAGTGAATTCTTTTGAATAGTTAAAATACAATAATTGCGATTCATTAAAAGAGCTTGTGAGGTTAGTATTATTAGTTTAAGAAGCCATTACAAAGCAGTTCTTTTGGTCCATTGAAATTAAAGAGTTTTTTTTTCTCCTTTAATCTCGTTGTTTTATGAAGAGAACCGCCAAAGAAAATACGACAACAACAACCGAGTCGCTGACTCCAAATTCTTCAGGAGAATGACAAACGATTGAAGTTTCGTATTCTTCTGATTGTCTGTTGTAACTTGTAAGGGGTCATGTGGATCTTATATAAAGGGCAATAGGGTGTAAATGAGATTCAGACAGGCTCCGTAAAACTACAATCCGCTCAAACAATAAACTAGTGTGGTGCTTTATGCTTGCCAAAGTTTGGAGGACCATGAATAAAGTCCCTCTGCCTCATTCCACCTCTTCACTCAACTGTGTTACCGATATCAACAACACACACATTTGCCCAAACTCGATGCCTTTTTATAAACCACAATCGTTTAAACAATCACTGCCTGCAAGGCTGCGTGTGAATGTGAAATTATGGACATACAGCTTTACTTGCCAGATTAAAGGACATTACATAATGGATCTCATAAAAAGCCCTCAAAAGCTGGTAAGAACTGTTTCAGTATGATCTTATGAATACATCCTCACTTTCGGATATTATCATTTTTTGCTGTCAATCGTTATGTTCGTCGTCACCTTCAGAATCTGCAGTGCACAACAAAGCTACTGTAAGTGGGGGAGAAACATATGATGTCAGTTAATTCAAAAACGAACGACCCTAAACCATGAAATCATTTTTTTTTTTTTCAGGTCGTTCATTCAAATGTATATGTCCAATTTTTAAAACCATCAATGAATAACTCGTTACCAGATCGAACATCATCATCAATTTTCCCTCTTGCACGAATTTGCTTCATGAGCATCCGAACCATCAACATCCACCAATAAATATGACAAATGAGCAAGCAAAGTAAAAGAGTATTAAACAAGTAATAATATATAGATCCATCCACCAAGTGCTTCTCCTTGTCCAAGGTCAAAAGAGCCTCGTAGCTGCCAAAAATAAATGGAAGCAAAAATCCACTTTAGTATACTATATCTGGTAAAGCAATAGAAAGAAGAGAGCAAAATGATAAGAAACGGGATAAGACACTAGCCAAGTAGTTTATATACTAGTTATGAATGTATAGCTACAAAAGAGGAAGGTGCTACTTATTTTCATTCATAGCTGCTTATTTTCCACTATATTCTATCTGCACAAAAAATAAATTATCTCAACACATTTAACTAACCTGGTACTCCAAATTATCCAAAATGGAAAATAAATAAGACGCAGTACTGTCCAAGAAAGAACAAAACTAACAAAAGCAAAGCCAGCCATCAGTTCATAGCCACAATATTTTGACAACTTTGCAATCTCTAAGAACACATCGCATCCTTCATGGAGGGCTAAAATAATCGAGCCAACACGAGAAAACCTGCGGGGGTGAGAAAACATATATTTAAGACACAAGAACAAAACAGAAGAAACCTTTGTTTGAGAATCATGAGCATTAACTATGAACACCAAGAAGCAACCTGAAACGCTTTAATACTTACTTGAATATGTAAGAAGACACAAGTAAAACCGTAGTTGCTATATGATGAGCCATTGACACCAAAAAGTCAGAACGCCTTGTTTCCCAGAACACCAAAGCAAAGCTGGAGTAGATGTAGAATCCGGCGGAATACATGTACAGTGCCTTCAATTTTAATCTGCCAATGAGGGAAAATATCGATAATTATGCCAGGCCAGGAGATATGAAAAAAGCAATTGTTTGCATAACAAAGTTACACATATGATCAGACATCAAATAAAACAAGTCTACTACTTGATTTTGACATTGAACAATGATTTCCAAAATGAGTGAGGAACGAACTTAGTTTTCTGGTCGGGCCAAACCTGATCGCCTGGCCCTACCCAGAAGTATTTGGTTTTAGAGAACCAAGGCTCGTTGTGCGTAACAGAAAGGGCCAAAAGCTCCGCAGAGAAAAAATAAACACATTTAAATGCTGACTCTTTGAATTTATTAATTTTCTTCCGTTGATGGCGTGTCTCAACATTCAGCATTGCATGCTGCTTTCCCAACATAAGGCGTCTTGCTAATCCCTGCAAAAAAGATGAATTGATTGAGACCACTGTTTTGCAGTCTGCCAAAGTATAGGTCCTCACAAACCATTCTAATATATAGATCAACATTACATCAAAGTAGAGCTTCAGATGCTGAAATTTGCATTCCTCATAGTTGATGCAACGAGAAATTAATCGCCTTTTTTTTTCCAACAGAAAAAGTTTTCATAGCTTAATATTCCCAATGACAACTAAGTTGGGCATGATAATTGTTATTGCACAAAATTGAAACATGGGATTATTGCATACATTTGGTCATTTTAACAGTAACCTTGTCTGCCTTGCCTTCAGAGGCACACCAGAGAGAGAGCCCAGAATCGATTAGATGCAGGACAGGTAAAGTTTCTCTGTAACCAAATATATGACTCTCATGAATGAAACTACAAGAACATAAAAACCAACTAAAGCAGAGTGAAACAGACCACAAATTTAACTCTTAGCTCTTAAGAATACAGCAGAGAGTTTTCCATGGAGGTCAAATGATACCCGATTTCTATACAACCAATATCTACCGATTATATTAACGTCAAATGAAATAATAGGAAAACCCCACAAACAATTATAGAGTATGCAACTAGTTCCACGCTATAATGAAACTGAATTATGTATAATAAATTGAAGAACTCCAAGAGTGGTACCTCAAAGACATAAATGTCCAGGAAGAGCCTGAGTGAAGGGAAGAGAAGAACAAACAAAGGAAGGACCAAAAAGTCTTTGGGCACTGGGTACGACTCTTCCTCCCAGTTGAGTCTGAGGTTGACCCAACCACTGATTCCAAACAGACCCAAATCCTCCATCTTGACGAACCAAACTCACTCCAAGGATTTGGAGAGGATGGAAGATCAGTAATGTCGACTGGACAAGGTGCTGTTTGGTGGAATAATTATGCACAAACGGCGATTCACTTTTGAAAAGCGCAATACTTAATCCCACGCTTCAACCGTTTTTTGTTTTTGATTATTTTTCCGTTATCGTAATCGGGTCATGCAGTTCTAGATAACCCTCGTGCTGGGTTAGGTTGGATTTTGGGTTACCCGATTCGAAGCCCCGTTTGTTTATTATTATTATTATTATTATTATTGCATCATTAGTATTTTAATTCTATTTTATTTATTCAATCTTTTAAAAGTTAGGACTCTTTTACGCTAGATTATTCCACAAATTGTAAGAATTTGGATATGAATTCAACTATCAAAATTCCAAAGTGTTTTATGTGAAAGTTTATTTGATCTGGTTTCTCCATACAAAGAGAATAAAAAACCTAACCAAAAAAAAAAAAAAAAAAAAAAAAAAAAAAAAAAAAAAAAAAACAAACTATATATATAACAAATATAAAATAATATATATAAAAAAAACAAAACAAAAAGGAGGACTGGGGCCCTCATTAAATAAGTAGTTGAAGAAAATTAGATACCAAAAAATAAGAGACATGGAATGGTCAATGAGTTCCCACCATAGTGATGATGGTGGATTCCCCCCCTCCCATGTCACCCAGGTTAGAAATCTTCTGGGATTTCTTTCCTCCAATGTAACTAAAAACAATTGAATAAGAGACATTCATTGGCAGAGCTAGTTTCCATTTCTTGGAGGACCATCTATATAGATTTTATAGATCATGTTTAGTACTTTTCTAATAATTATAGAAGTTTGATATAAATTTTACATGAAATGATAGAGGTTGGGGCAATCCATGGCCACTTCGGGTTGAAGTGTGGCTTCATGCTCCTTGTACATATGTATGTGTATATACATATGTATGTCTTTAGTTTTATATCATCATCACTCATAAAAAATAAGGTAGATAGCGGCCAATAGTAGGGGTGGGTATCACTCCGGCCGAACCAAATCATAATTACTAGTTTGGTTTGGTTTTGACTAAGAAAAAGTCAAATGCTTTAAAAACCGAACCGGACTGTATATGGTTTGGTTGGGTTTGGTTTTGAGCTTTTATTTTACATGTGTAATACTCTAATTAGTTAATAACTATATACGAATATTTGAATTGAGCTATATTAATTAGTGAAATATAAAGTTTTATGACATTTTGAGCTTTAGGATGGTTTTGTACTCTAGAAAATGAATTATGTATGAAGCAAGCTGTGAATTTGTTGGTTATAGTTTGGCTAATAATGTTGAAAAAATACAAAAAAAAAAAAGAATTGGACTTAGGCCTAAACCGGTTGAACCAAACCAAACCAAACCGTCTTAAATTGGTTTGGTTTGGTTCGGTTTCCTTTATAACTTTTATCCAAACCAAACTGAACCAAACGATCATATTGTAATTAGTTTGGCTTTGGTTTTGAGGTGAAACCGATCCAATTCGGACTATGCCCACCCCTAGCCAGCAGAGTCTAGCTTAGTGGAAAAATACCTTGATTTGTAGATAAGAGGTTTTAAGTTCAAACCCCATGACATATTGGCAGTGTGTGAGGAAATCTCTCTCCTCCAATATCACTAGTATAATTTTTTTAGATAGCGATAAAGGCTATGGGCTTAGATTTTTGCAACTTGGGCCTGTTTCAGTGACATTTCAAGTGGCCCAAATTAATTGTATAGTGTGTAGCCATTTAATAAGGCCCTAGGGCATGTAAAGTTGGCTACTACTGTTTTTTGTTTTTTGTTTTTTGTTTTTTTAATGAGGAAATAAAAATTACAAAGCGAAACTCCTAAGATAAGAAAGTTCAAAGAGGTCAAAATAAAAAGGAGAACAAATTGACAAGAGAGCCCAAGCTCCCAAATAACCTGCGATTGACAACCACGTTCACAGTGAAGTTTGTGTCTTTAAACACATGCTAAAAGCGAATAGAACTGTTTTTCTTGTTGGATAACATCTATTTCACCTTTTATATAATCCATAGAATTATTTTAAAAGAAGCACACGTTTGGGAATAAAAATGATTTGTTTTGTTTTATTTGATCCTTTTAGATTGAAATGTGATTTGACTGCTTTATCTTTCCCTTACAATATTAATTAAAGTTAGGCATGCATTTCCTGTACCACATGGCAATGCTAGGTTAACTAGCAGCATATATATGACACAAAAGAATAATCCTAGGATCTATTTCTCATCTGCAAACAAACTCCCTCTACGCATGCCTTCATGTTGTAAGAGCCTTTCTATCGGATGAGCCCAGCCCGAGGCTAGGGGGAAAAAAAAAAAAAAAAAAAAAAATTGTGTCCAGCGGAGCAGCCCAGGCCCGGGGGGGTGTGGGACCCACTACCCCGGTCTGACCCGAAGGCAACTTCTGCCTGAGGTCCAAAACGAGGGGGGTACTGTAGCGCTACAGTATTGATACAGTACTGCTACAGTATCCCACTACAGTATCGCTACAGTACCTCACTGATTTGATTTTTTTTCCTGTTGCCACGTGGCGTCGTCTGGGCTCTCCGATCTGATTTTTTCCTCCAATCCAACGACAGCCAATTTTTTTGCAATAAAATACTGGAAAAAATTTGGAAATTTTTTTAAAAAATACCCAAAAATTAATGAATTTTTTTCTATAAATACCAGCCTTTTTTTTTTAATTTATCTGAAATTTGAAATTGAAAATTTTATCCGATTATGAGATATGAATAGTATTGACATGTAGGAACCCGAAAATCTTATCCGAAAATATTATCCAAATTAATTATTGAGGTAAAAAAAGTTGTGTATAAAACAAAAAAATGAATAGTAACTGCCCTTAGCAAGGGCAACGGGTGGAAACACAAAATTCGGATTTTGCAAGGGCAACCACTATTCACGTGAATAGTGGCTGCCCTAGCTCCCCCCCTTGCCATGGCTAAGGGCAAATGGGTGGAGTTGCTCTAAGTCTTTATTTATTTGGAGCCGTTTGAGTTGGGTTATTGAAATAAAGCAATGCCCTACTACTTTGCTTTTGTTTTGGAATTAATGTTCATCAATTTAAACAAAAAAGATCAGTTGTATTGTAGCATACCCATTTGTTAAAATGGCATGTAAATTAACACATTACAACAATATCAAACAAATTAATTATGTAAGGGGCTTGTAGCTCAAATAATTAAGAGCATGCATCCGAGGTCCTAAGTTCGATTTCCCCTTTATCCATGAATTGACCTCAATGAGTCAATGTCACCTCTCCTTCACCACATTTGTGTTGTGTCCATGTGAATTACGAACATATTTTTCATGTCAGGAAATGCCTTTATTTTATATATAGAAAATAAGCTTAACTCTTGATTTGTCCCATGAATTTGTACTTAATTTTCTACTATCTTTCTTTTTTTATTTATAGAAAATTAAGGATATGAACTCTTCTTTTTTTCACCAATTTGCCCCCTCACATCTAAATCCGCAACATGTCATCTAATTTGCTATTAAATATGAGGTTAAAATTGTCATTTCGTACATTAAATATATATTAATACTGAAAAATAAAATTAAAAACTTTAAAAAATTGAAATATACTCTCTCTCTCTCTCTTTCTCAAAAAATATCTTTAATTTTCTTTTTTAAAAAAAGAAAAAGAGATAAATCAAAAGTTCGTTACAAGTTAACCTAGAAAATACAAATGTGAAAGAAAAATTACAAATCAAGAGTTAACCTAGAAAATACAAATGTGAAAGAAAAAAGTAAGTAAACAAGAGAATCAGTCAGATGATCTGGTCCATGTTTGACAAAATTGTCCCATTGCAGAAACCACAACCTCAACAGTAGTCACGTGGAAGACAGAGAGAAGCAAATCGGGATGCGATCACGTCAAAAAGGACAAGCAGCAAGAATAACACATGGGGCTCACCCTTGTCTCATTCTCTCTCGGCCACCGGGAAACAACCAAAAATCATGCTCAAAAGCGTTGGGGGCAAGGTGTGCCCAAACCACCTGGATTTTAACTCTCAAGTTCGTTTTGTTCTTGCCCTTACCAATCATGATGGTCCACCACACGAGTTGTCAAATTCTCTCTTCTTTTATTTTAGCCATAAAGTGAGTAAATTACAAATTCAGATCTTAAGTTAAGCCCTAAAAAATCATAATTTGAAATGATAATCGATGTACAGGGTAAAATGTCTGGTTAACTAGAGAAGCACGTTTAGATTTTGAAAAGCTGATTCTAAAACCTAAAAAACCTTTAACGCAAATGTCATTTCAAAAAAGTTATTACAGAAGTAACGTATGGAGCGAGGATATATGTCTGATTGATCACTATAATTTTCAACCCTCCAATCCAAACTTCACCTTGAAAAGGCAGGAAGCAGGAAGCAGCAGAGCAATAAATGAGACATGTAGATGGATAGATATTAGATAGATGGTTTTTCACTCAAGCTTTTTTTCTGATCCAGCTGATATGAAATTCAATCTTTACGGCAATCAAGCAACATCAACATCAACATGCATAAATATTAATATTATTATATGACTAGGTATAGGTCTAGGTGGCAAAGCAAAGCAAGCTGGATTGCATTTTGTTTGTGATAAGGGAAGGCAGAGAGGGCAGTGTCCTTCCTTATCCTTCCTGTTGAAGGGAAGGTAAGGGAAGGGAAGGGATATAGAAGCAAATAATTGAGTTTGTAATAGGACCCGTGTTCTTCCTTCCCCAATAACACGACGGACATAACATAACCTTGCTTTGAGGAGGAGACACACATGCACATCATCAAAAGCAGCGGCAGACACCTATATTTGACAACTTCCTATCTATCTCATTCTCATTCTCAACTCTTATATACTATCTAGAAAAAGAAAACCCTAAACTCCCGTTGGGTTGGGTGGTTTGCATTTTACAGGTAAATATGTGAAAGCTAAATGAAGTAGTGAATAGGTCCGATTGTGTCCTATTCAAAGACAGACAGGGGTGGTCTTACTTATCTTATAATAATTCATTCATTCATTCGTTCTCTTTCTCTTTCTCTCTAGTTGTTTTTGTTTTTCTAGCCTACTCTCTTTCCTCCTCAAGTCTTGAAGTCCCGGTCTGTCTTTTGCATTTAAGGCATCCATACCTTCCTTTCTCTTAATAATGACATCTGCAGAGAGAAATAAAGATGATTGATTGATCTTATGAAACCCAATGACCCAGTGAACGAACAACCAACCAACCATGTCCTTTCAAATTCAAGAAACCTTTGGTATGTATGGAGGAGGCTTTTTGTTTTGCTTGATGGGTTTCACTGTCATTGACAGCTTCTAGCGGTCTCTCTGCTCAGCAGAAAAGGTCAGAGAATTAATGGGTATATTTAGATTTCCAGGGGGTGTGGTACTGAGAGTTATTGCAGCTTCCTTCTTACTTAGCCTATTAAAGACACAGATTGTGGGTTTTGTTTTGTGGTGTAGCTTTCAAATGTAATGTGAGAGAGAGCTACATTTGTGTTCTTGTTTGTTTGAGCAGTGATTTAGCTTCTCTCTTTTCCTATTTAAGAATTATCCTATACTTGTGTTAATATCCCCTGCTTCTTTATTAATATTCTCACCAGCTTCCCTTGTTCTTTCAGTCTAGTAATATCATATGGAGTCTTCCAAAGTCTTTGGAGGTGCAGAAGAATGTCACAGCAGTGAATCAGGGTGGACAATGTACATTGGCTCTTGCATAGATGGTGAAAATGAAGATGGCACTGGCATGACCCATGAAAACAGTGAAGATGATGGAGAAAATGATGGTCATAAGGATGACCACAGTGATGATTCTATGGTTTCTGATGCTTCCTCTGGCCCAAGCCATCACCACCATGGAGGGAGATCCAGAGGTCATGGCTTGGCTGTTGACAAAACGGCCAAGAAGAAACCAAAGGAGAAGCAGCAACCTAGAGCTGGAAGGGGAAAGGAAGAGAAGAAAGACAAGGCTTTATTGACTCATGCCAAGAAACGCTAAGGCTTACTTGACTAGCTTCAGGCAGGTTGATCAGAAGAATGGCTTTGGAAACAGCAGATTAAATTATATAGATGTTTTGATGTTCTTCATCTGCTAAGTATTATTATTTTGTAGGTAGAGGTAGGTAGCAACGGGTTTAGCTGAATTTTATCTCTTTTAATGTAAGGATAATATATATATATATATGTAATATATTCAAGAAATTAAAATAATTGTTGAGTAACTAGCTAGAATGTGTTCGTCCTGCCTGGTAGCAAATATTCTTTTATTATAAAAAAAATCTAGTTTGAATCCATAAGTCTGCTTGTGCCCCAAATTAGTTGTATGAATCCATATGTTCATTCAATTGGATGTGAAAAGATTGAAAAAGGCCAACTAGGTTGGTTGAGCCTAGTTGAGTTGAAAAGGATTGTAATCTTCGCTATTAATGCTTAGATTCGAGTTCCGCCGTCGACAATCTCTTTTAGTGAGTAATATGTAAAAATAAAAAATGAGACTAAGACCCTTCTGTAAGTTCTCAAAAGATCTTGGTATGCCCTGACCTTGGATATGATAGCCTCCTCTCCTCCTAAACTTTTCTTCATTGAAAAAAAGAAAAGAAAAAGGGAAGAATCTTTGTATGCACAAATGATTTGCTGCTTCTTTTAACAGAATCTAAAATAGTGAACAAAGAGTGTTCCATCACCAGGCCCAAAATCATAGGACTCTGGGCCTTCACACCCTTCTTGCCTAAATTTCAATATTTTTTTGGGCCTAAAGTTCATGGTTTTATTTATTTTCATAGGATGTATAACAAAGAAAAATACATTTGATGAAACACTAGCGAGGTAGAGCTGCCACTGATTTCAAAGACAACTAGATTAAACTTAGCAACTCTGAAATATCAAGCAACCGTTCTCTTTATTTGTTTTTTCAAAAGCTACAAAATTCTTTAAAAAATAGTCAAATTTTTTTGATACGTGGTAGTTCTTACAATTTTCTCAATCAACGGATTTATAAAAATAACAGAAAGAGAAAATAAATAAATAAAAGCGCGAGGATATGACACGTCGTCGACAAGGCAAAAGTGGTGACGTGGATAAAATATGACCTTTGTCATCCACCTCTTCCTCTTCTCCTTGCCCTGTACTTACAATTTACAACGTTCCTTTGTCTGTTGTGTTCCCTGGGAGAGAGAGGCTTTACGAACAGAGCGAGGAATGTCGAAGCTCATTCTGCTTCACACTTCTCACCATCTCACCCCAATCCACCGCCGTGTCCTAAATGCCGCCGTTTTGACTCCTGTTTCCAAGCCTCTCCTCACTCCCTTCTCTCTCTCAGGTCTCCGCCCCCAATGCCTCCGCTCTTCATTCTCTCCTCCTCTTTCTCTGCGAAGCCTCTCGGCTCGCGCCTTCGACTCGTCGTCTTCTTCATCGTCCGAGACCAAAGAAGAAGAATTGAAGCAAATCGATGGCGAGTCTGGGCCTCAGGGTAAGGTTAACAGTGAGAGTGTCAATACAGGCACAGCAGACAAGGACTATCCCACTGGCGAGTTTCAGTTTGAAAAGATGAGCTCTTGGAAGAGCTTCGTCGTCAAGCTTCGCATGCTCATTGCCCTCCCTTGGGAGCGCGTCAAAAAAGGCAGCGTCTTGACCATCAAATTGCGAGGCCAGGTTTTCTTTTTCACATTTCTCTTTGTGAGCGTGTTTGGCAATTTGGGATTGGAGCTTTTTCTCTTTTGGTTTATTTATTTTATTATTGGTTCAGGTGTCTGATCAGCTAAAGAGTCGATTCTCCAGTGGACTATCGCTACCTCAAATTTGTGAGAACTTGGTGAAAGCAGCGTATGATCCTCGAATTTCTGGTGTCTATCTCCAAATTGAGAGCTTGAATTGTGGTTGGGGGAAAGTCGAAGAAATTCGAAGGCATGTATTGGATTTCAAGAAATCAGGTAAATATTTTCAGAATTTTGATTATGTTATGGCTTATATCTGTACCTGATTTCTTCACTCTTGCAGGAAAATTCATTTTGGCCTATGTACCTGCTTGTGGAGAGAAAGAGTATTACCTTGCTTCTGCATGCCAAGAGATATATGCCCCTCCAAGTGCTTATTTTTCTTTATTTGGTCTCGCCGTTCAGGCCTCATTCGTAAGAGGTCAGTTCCTTTCCCTGAAATCCGTAATTTATATTTGCAAGAATTCCCTTTTGACGAGTAACATACCAACACTGCTGCAACTGTGAATATAATAATGGTCTTGATGATTTGATCACACAGATTTTTGGTTTTGTAGATGCTTGTAAGTTAGATACTTGTTACCTTTTCCTGTTTAACCTTACCTGTGCTGTACTTATGGCGCAAGTCATTCATTAGCTCATGTTGCGTGGCATTCGTATTTTCTTTCAGGTGTTCTTGAAAACGTTGGAATCGAGCCACAAGTGGAAAGGATTGGTAAATACAAAAGTGCCGGCGATCAACTTGCACGCAAAACCATGTCTGAAGAAAATTGTGAGATGCTGACTGCACTGCTTGATAATATATACGGGAATTGGCTGGATGTAATTTCTTCTACAAGAGGTGCTTTGAGATTTGAGATTTGACCTTTCTTCAAGTCTTTAAAGAACTTCTGAACTTCTGAAAATTTTCTACAGGAAAGAAAAGAGAAGACATCGAGAATTTTATTAATGAAGGAGTGTACCAAGTAGAAAAATTTAAAGAAGAGGGCTGGATCACAAACATACACTATGATGATGAGGTATGGAATTCTGGTTCCTATTTGCTTTGGGTTAGTGTTTGATGCATGTTAAGAAAGAGAATTTAGATGCTTGGAGAGTAAGAACGCTGTTTCAATGTGTTTCAGATCCAGATTTTAAACTTATATTTAAAGAAAGTTGAGAGAGTTTTCTTTTTCTAAATTTCAATTTCCATCCATGTTCAAGTTTGTCTTAGTATTTTGAAGTTCTAGGGCATGGTAACTACCTAGTCATATTTATTTATGATATGAAAAGATACATACTGTATTGCTCTCACAGTGTAATATCTTGTGATGTGTTAATCGTAATTATTTTGTTGACCCCATTTTGATATGAAAGTCATCCATATGGGGAGCGATTTGTGTCTGTAAAACATTATTCATCATTATGATAGTTTGCTGGTAACTTTTTAAATAATATGTATCCCTCGCAGGTTATTTCACTGTTGAAGGAAAGACTTGGAGTACAAAAAGAAAAAGTTCTTCCTATGGTTGATTACAGGTAGTCAACTTTCTTATAGGTGGCATTCATTTATTACGATGTGATGTCCAATTTTCTCTGTATGCGTGTATATCTATCCCATCCTCCCTCTTTTTCATTATTACGACAGGAAATACTCTAAGGTTCGACAATCGACTGTTGGCTTATCAGGCGGCAAAGACAAGATAGCCATAATTAGAGCCTCAGGCAGCATTAGTCGTGTACGGGGCTCTTTTAGTCTTCCTGGTTCGGGTATTATTGGGGAACAGTTCATTGAGAAGATTCGTAGTGTGAGAGGTATTGTATGCCTTAAATAAGTTCATTTTCTTATGTGAAACTTTCAGCACTAGTTATTTGCATATGTTTTTCTGTTTTAATTTTTGTACCTCTGTCATGTGATACTCTTTTACCCATTCCAGAATCAAAAAAGTATAAGGCCGCTATCATCCGAATTGACAGCCCTGGAGGTGATGCCCTTGCTTCTGATTTGTAAGTGCTAGTATATATTAGCTGAGTTTTGTGTGCAACAAATCCATTATCACAACTAGGAATATGCATTTGTAGTAAGTGGGGTAACGTTCCGAGCATCTAAATGAGTAGGGAAGTTTTCGTACACATGATTTAGATCTGGGTGCCAGAGTTAGGGATTCGTTCTTCCGCTTATCTGAATATTTAGTATGCTTATAATGAATGAGCTTGATGTAGAAGATAGATCTCCTGTTAATATGATATCAGTAAACTGAAGCCTTTCCATGTGACATGTTTGGGTACATGAGGTGTTGAAGTTATTGTTGTTTTAGCTGCATAAAACTCTAAGATGTTGGAATTTGTCCCCGTAAAAGTTGATATGTTGGCAAGTAATCTTGTACAGAAGAAAATATGTGCTTGTATGTTTATGTGTGCGCACAATTAACTAGTTACCCTGATGTGTTTATGGTGTGCAGAATGTGGAGGGAAATCAGACTTTTGGCTGCATCAAAACCTGTCATTGCATCAATGTCTGATGTGGCAGCAAGTGGAGGATACTATATGGCAATGGCAGCAGACACCATTGTTGCAGAAAATCTAACCTTAACTGGTTCCATTGGGGTTGTGACAGGTGAATTTGGTTGTACATAATTATATAAAGTATATTCATGTTGGTTAAAAGCACATAGACTGCCACAAATCTAAATGCCCAGCAAATATTTGTTATAATTGTGGGATCTTTTTTTATCTATCTATTTGCAGTTTAAAAAGTTTATAATCCTTTTGTTGGTATGCAGAAAGAAATTTGGATTATGTTAGCTGTTGTAAGTTAGTATATGAATCTTTGTTTGTAGGGAAGTTTAACTTGGGAAAACTGTATGAGAAGATTGGCTTCAACAAGGAAATCATATCAAGGGGAAAATATGCGGAGCTTCTTGCAGCTGAACAACGATCTTTCAGGTAAACAAATTTGTTGCACTCTTAGGTGTATGTAATAATCTCCTATATTCGTACAAATGGAAAAAGTTTCAACTTTTCCTTTTCGATCCTAATACAGACCAGAAGAAGCTGAACTCTTTGCTAAATCTGCACAGAATGCATATAAGCAATTTCGAGACAAGGCAGCTTTTTCCAGATCAATGACTGTATGCTGGTCAATTCAACCTTCGTTTTGGTTTCAGTCGCTTCCTTTTCACTCCTGTTACCTTGAAATCTAAAGATGCCCTATTTATTTGCGGTGCCAGGTAGATAAAATGGAGGAGGTTGCACAAGGGAGAGTTTGGGCTGGCAAGGATGCAGCTTCACGGGGTTTAGTTGATGCTATTGGTGGACTTTCTCGGGCCGTCGCAATAGCAAAACTCAAGGCAAATATACCCCAAGACAGACAGGTATGGTTATAAGAAAATCTCTTCTTATTTCATGGGTTATGAATATAAATTAGTGTTACTAATTTATGCAGTGCAAGTTAACTCCATATTTGTTAAAAACTACTTTATTTGAGTGTGTTATGACCTTCTCATACATATTATTTATGTGTTTGCAAAATGTAATATGTTCGTGTATACCCGTTACTCTGTCTCTGTAAGTTGTTCTCTAATGGTGCAAGGTTACACTTGTGGAGCTTGCAAGACCGTCCCCTACACTGCCAGAAATTTTAAGTGGCATAGGGAGCAGTTTGGTTGGAGTGGACAGAACAATGAAGGAATTGCTGCAGGACTTGACATTTGGTGATGGAGGAGTTCAAACCCGGATGGAGGGAATCATGTTTCAAAGGCTGGAGGGAGCTTCTCAGGCTAACCCCATCTTCTCTTTGCTGAAAGATTACCTCAGTTCCCTCTAACCATGTTGTTAGCTATCCCTTTTTTTTTATGGGACGGCTAAGTTTGTATGCATACTCGAGTGTTGTAGCCATAGAAGATTCAAAAGAAAAAAGAAAAGAAAAGAAAAATGTAGTATATTGTATTTACAGATCATTATTATACATAAAAGTTATAACGCATTTATACATACAAGTTTACTCTGCATTAAAGAAATAAGAATGTTGTTGATTGGCTTCGCTAGAATGTGAGTGAGTTTCGGGTTCGTCCTACCTTGTAACTGTCATCAAAATGCCGTTCAATATTGAAGTTGAAGGCCCATATTAGATTGGTTCTGGGGTAATTGTATTATAGTCTTATGTTCAGGTGTAAAATATAAAAGGACTGCCTGTATACCAAGAAAAGTATACACAACTGAACATAAGACTATAATTTCAACACTGTTACTGCTTTTGTTTGTGGATCAAATTTCAACAGTTTTCTAGTTACATCGTGCTCAACATTTGCTTATGCATGTCACTGCAGACATACATACATTCCTATGTTTAATTATGTACTATGTCATAAGAAAATTACAATTTTTTATGTGAAAGACTAAGGTGAGAATTGTCATGTGAAACACACATGGATTGGTTTTGTTAGCTAAGCTTTACAGCAAGTTCATATATTGTATTATTATGATACAACTGGTAGGATTGCTACAACTCTTGTTTAATATGTTTTACACCTTTATGAGTTACTAGCAGAGTTTGATTATGATTTCTACTTTTGCACATGAGTTTGTGTTCCACTAAGATTGAGTGTGAAGCCCTTCTTACAGGAATGGCCAATGGCCAGCGAATGATAAAATGACGAGACCTAGAATAGTTTGCTGGATCTTAAAGTTGTCAGTTGGATGTTTTGTAATTGGTAAATAGTTTGCTGGACCTTAAAGGAATTAATATTACAGCAACATGACCTTGCCAAAAGTAGAAAGAAATTATCAGTTTAAACTAAGACAACTTGATCAACTTTCACTAACTAGTAAGTAACTACTCAATCAATCATTCATATATGAAACAATTAAACTAAGACAAGTAAACAATTTCATCACATGATGATGAAATTGATCAGTCCACTATAACTAGATTCTGATAGTCTTGGCCAGAAATGGCAGCTTCCATGGCACGTTCGGGGCCAAAATCCCCACCATTGTCCAGGAAGAACTTGACCAAATTGTTGTTGACAAAGCCACTCAACATGGATATGAGCCAGCAGGCATTGGAAAAGGAAGTAGTAATTGAGAGCTGTGGAAGGAGTGTGGAAGGGGAGAGAGAAGCACCAACTATGAGTGAAAAAAAAAAGCTTAAAACTATTTGCTTATTAGAAATGCTAAGTAGTGTTTTATGTTTTTTTATAATGTTTTTTAAGTAATGAAGACTATTGGTATGTAGTATGTATTAGTGATATAGATGTTTTTGATGACTATGGATGTTTTGATGACTATAGATGTTTTAAGGGTTTTGGATGCTTTTAATTAGGGTTTAATTGTCTGGTAGCTGATGTAGATGACGTCATTTACCTATCTTCATTTTTCTTAAGAAAACGCAGACTATATGTGAATTACATCTAATAGCTCACATTCCCATTACATGGTGCTTTTGTTGTAAATGCATGAAATTGGTCATGGTTGGTGACGAGTTTTCATGACGCAAATTAGGTCTGTAGGTCTGTCTGTGATGCAGGAGCGCCCAAAAGGCTTGTTGATCTACTGGTTATGATCTTAGTTATTTAAAATCGTGTGACATGTGAGTATTAAGTAATCTCAAGCGCTAGGATTAACAGGCTATTTTGTAACCAGTGGCTAGCTGGGATGCTAGGGCTGTTTTAACAATATCTTATTGTGAGTCTTAGCAAGAAGATGTGGAGCAGATTAGAGGAAAAGATAAGTAAATTTGGATATAGACCCAACACAGGCTCTGTGCTTCATGAACTGGAAGAGGAGGAGGAGAAGATTGAAATACTGAGGGGGCACAGTGAGAAGCTTGCAATTTCATTTATATTGTTGAAGATGAGTAAAGGTGCAACTTTGAGAGTAGATTGTCACAATGCTGCTAAGTTGATATCCAAGGTTGTTGAAAGAGAGAGAGTTGTGAGAGACAATAAGCTTTTCCATCATTTCAAACATGGCCTTTGTTCTTGTGGAGATTATTGGTAAATAAATAAAAAAAATCAACCAAGTTTTCAGAGCTGCAGACAGATACTTTCATTCATTTGTACACAATGTAATCCTACAAATTAGTCTTCATAGTCTTGTCATCGTCCAGTAACTGCCAAAACAGACCAACACCAGAGACCAGTTCCAATCTTCAAATACACCAAAGAGCCTGAGTCTCTACAGGCATCTCATCTCAATGATGGCTTTTGTGGCACCACCACTCTCATGCCATCCCCTGCCCACACCGAACACCAAACATTCCCTTCACTCAATCTTCACTCCAAAACCAAAAGCCTCACTTTCTTTCTGTGCCACTCAAACCCACCAAAGAGAACCTCTCACTTCACCTCACAACTCACTTTCCCAACCCAATTTGCTCCAAGAGATCAACAATCTCTGCGACTCTGGAAACCTCTCTGAGGCTCTGACCCTTCTTCAAGCAGACTCTCGCAATTCCATATCCAGTTTACAACAAAAGAAAGACGCAATGGGTGCCCTGTTGCAGGCCTGTGGCCGCCACAAAGACGTCGAAACCGGACGCAGAGTCCACGACTTGGTCTCGGCTTCAACCCAGTTCAGCAATGACTTTGTTCTCAATACCCGCATCATTACTATGTATTCCGTGTGCGGTTCTCCTTCAGATTCTCGCTTGGTTTTTGATGGGTTGCAGAGGAAGAACTTGTTTCAGTGGAATGCACTTGTTAGTGGTTATGCAAGAAACGAGCTTTATGGCAATGCAATTGATGTGTTTATTGAGTTGATTAGCGTCACGGTATTTAAACCCGATAATTTTACGTTCCCTTGTCTTATTAAGGCATGTGGAGGGCTTTTGGACGTGGGTTTGGGGCAGGTAATCCATGGGATGGCTGTGAAGATGGGATTGATGTCTGATGTCTTTGTGGGTAATGCATTGATTGCAATGTATGGCAAATGTGGGTCAATTGAAGACGCGGTTAGGGTGTTTGATTTAATGCCTGAGAGGAACTTGGTTTCCTGGAATTCAATGATATACGGGTACTCGGAGAATGGGTTTTCTCAAGAGTGTTACAGTTTGTTGAGGAAGATTTTGGAGGGTGAGGAAAGTTTGGTACCGGATGTTGCAACATTGGTGACTATATTGCCGTTGTGTGCTGGGAAAGGAGAAGTAAATATGGGGGTGGTGATTCATGGTGTGGCAGTGAAATTGGGGCTGAACCAGGAATTGATGGTGAATAATGCCTTGATGGACATGTACTCCAAATGTGGGTACTTGGCTGAAGCTCGAGTCTTGTTTGATAAGAATGACAAGAAAAATGTGGTTTCTTGGAATTCCATCATAGGAGGCTACTCTAGAGAAGGAGATGTTTGTGGCACATTAGATCTTTTCCGAAAAATGCAGATGGAAGAGGAGAAAGTGAAGGTCAATGAGGTTACCGTACTGAATGTGTTATCAGCTTGTTTAGAGGAGTCAGAACTTTTGAGCCTGAAAAAACTTCATGGTTACTCATTCAGACGTGGGTTTCTATATGATGAACTGGTCGCCAATGCTTTTGTTGCAGCCTACGCAAAATGCGGGTCACTTACTTTGGCTGAGCAGGTCTTTCATGGCATAGAGACGAAGACAGTGAGCTCCTGGAATGCAATTATTGGTGGTTATGCCCAAAACGGAGATCCAAAAAAGGCTTTAGATTTGTACCTTCAAATGAAATATTCAGGCTTGGATCCTGACTGGTTTAGCATTGGGAGCCTCCTTTTAGCTTGTGCCCACCTGAAACTTCTTCAACATGGCAGACAGATTCATGGATTTGTGCTACGTGATGGGTTAGAAATGGACTCATTCATTGGTATTTCATTACTATCGTTTTACATCCAGTGTGGTAAATTATCATCTGCAAGAGTATTATTTGATAGGATGGAAGCTAAAAGTAGAGTGTCTTGGAATGCAATGATCACTGGTTACACTCAGAGTGGACTTCCTGATGAAGCCCTAGATCTCTTTCGCCAAATGCTGTCTGGTGAAACCCTACCTTGTGAAATTGCCACAATGAGCGTGTTTGAGGCATGCTCTCAACTTGCTTCTTTGCGATTGGGAAAAGAATTACATTGTTTTGCTTTGAAAGCTCGCCTCACAGAAGACCTGTTTGTTGGTTGTTCTCTCATAGATATGTATGCAAAAAGTGGCTGCATAGAAGAATCTCATAGGGTCTTTGATTGGTTAGTTAAGAAAGATGTGCCATCATGGAATGTTATAATTGCAGGATATGGAGTTCATGGACATGGAAGCAAGGCTTTAGAGCTATTTGGAGAAATGGTAAGTTTGGGGCAGAAGCCTGATGGCTTTACGTTTATTGGAGTTCTAACTGCGTGTAGCCATGCTGGGTTGGTTAAGGAAGGTCTAAAATATTTCAACCAGATGCAGAGCTTGTATGGAATTGATCCAAAATTAGAGCATTACGCATGTGTGGTGGACATGCTTGGTCGGGCTGGCCAATTGGAAGCAGCTTTAAACCTCGTACATGAGATGCCTGAGGAGCCGGATACCAGAATGTGGAGCTCATTGCTTAGTTCCTGTAGGCTTCACAATAACTTGGATATGGGGCAGAAAATTTCCGAAAAGTTAATAGAATTAGAGCCTGAAAAGGCAGAGAGTTATGTGCTACTGTCAAACTTATATGCTGCATCAGGGAAATGGGATGATGTGAGACGGGTGCGGCGAAGGATGAAGGATATGGGCCTTCAGAAAGACGCCGGGCACAGTTGGATTGAAGTTGGAGGGCAAATTTATAGCTTTGTTGCTGGTGACACTTCCCTGCCAGAGTCAGGAGAGATTAAGAAGATGTGGAGCAGATTAGAGGAAAAGATAAGTAAATTTGGATATAGACCCAACACAGGCTCTGTGCTTCATGAACTGGAAGAGGAGGAGGAGAAGATTGAAATGTTGAGGAGGCACAGTGAGAAGCTTGCCATTTCATTTGGATTGTTGAAGATGAGTAAAGGTGCAACATTGAGAATCTGCAAAAACCTGCGCATTTGTGTAGATTGTCACAATGCTGCTAAGTTGATATCCAAGGTTGTTGAAAGAGAGATAGTTGTGAGAGACAATAAGCGCTTCCATCATTTCAAGCATGGCCTTTGTTCTTGTGGAGATTATTGGTAAATAAATAAAAAACCAAGCAAGTTTTCAGAGCTGCAGACAGATACTATTCATTTGTACATCATGTAATGTAAGTGATAACCAAAATTATTTTTATTTGTACTAATAATCACATTATTCATTAGTGGAAGTCAAAGTTGAGGGGTCAAAACTCCTTTCGACAATAATTGCTTGAAACATTATTCATTAGATCTATAATTGCATTTCAATCTCTAACTCCCATTGTTACAAAATTTATCAATTTTGACTTCCTCTTCAAAGCACATTTTGGAGAGGACAAAACCTAATGAATCCGAACCCTTTTTTTTTTGGATATTTTTTCGAAAGATTTTTTTAACATTTGGCTACACCACACCACTAACGAAATCGTACAAATTTCTTGAAAGAAAGAGATACAATTCTAAATTTCCACATGTATAGGATTAGATTATTTGTTGTCGGTGGACCCCACCTGACCTCGGGTCCACAATAACCATCCCTCGCTGAAATAAAAACTAAAAAAAGACTGCACAGATAAGCAAGCAGCAAACTTTTGAAGCCTCGATTTTTCACTTGCTCTGGAGTCTGGAGAGTGGTTTACAGGTTGTTAGTTGTTTGCAGCAAAATTGTGGAATGGCGAGTGTGCCGTCTCCGTCGTCTCCTCCAGCCTCACCGTCTTCTGCTTCCAGCTCCGACAACTCCGCCACTGAACCCATCCCTCACTCTCCTCCAAATCCACAGGTTCTATCACTCTCTCTCTCTCTCTCTCTCTCTCTCTACATATATAGATGTGTACACACACACATATATATATATTTATATATGTATGCGCATGTTGCATGGTCGGTGTAATATTGATTCTTATGGGTTCTTTCATTTCATCAATTTTTTTAAAAAAATATGTGCAAGGTTGATGCTGGGGTCAACAATGGGGTTCTCAATGTCGACGAGAAAAAGCCTGATATTTCTGCATATTTTGAGTGAGTCTTCTTTCCTTTCTTTTCTTTTAGCGAGTAATTCCCCTTCCTGTTATGTTCATTGTTTTGAGAAATGTATTTGCAATTACCATGCCATTAATTCGCATATTATGAGTATTTTCCCTTGTTCTTTCTTCTCTCTATAGTATTTGGAATATAATTTTCCCAATAACTAAAACTTTAATGAGCACGATGAGATTTTGCTTACAGATGTGTGTATTTTATTGCTTTGGCCTACTCGTAAGTTTGGTTTTTGATAGACGCGTAGCAATAAAATCGAAAGGAAAGCATTTCTTGACATACTAACTTTTGCTTCTTGACATACTTTTTTGGCTAAGTGTCTATGAGTTGGTTTTCCAGGAAAAACAAATAAAGAGGGAATTAATTAAAGCAGTTGGGTTCATTAAATTTCACTCCTTTTCCAATTTTTGCAGGGTCCTGAATTTTGAAATTGAGCTAGAACAAACTTCCCAGAAATTGAATCGATTGTAAAGGACCAGCGTAAACTCTGCAGAGAGAATATAAACCATGTTTTAGTTAAAGATAATTGTGACCTAAATATTTATGAGAGATGGAACTATCTTATGTGGATACTTCTTCAGAAAACCGTGTTTGCATCATTTTGACATACATTCTCTGATTGAATTTAGTTACTTGTACATGGACAGAGTAATTCAAGTTGTTTCATATTTTTTAAAAATTCAGTTGTGAAACTCTTCTCAAAATGTCTCATCTTCTGCCCTTCAGTATGCTCACATGTTTTAGAGCTTTCCCGAATATGTTTATTTGATTTTCATGAGTTACTGCTTTCCATATTTGGCATTAGAATTTCCGGGCCTTACACTTACACTTCCAAGCCTTCCTCTCTCCTTTGTATCTGCACTCACACAAACAGAAATGGTAATCTTTATCTACCATGTATACCAGAACAAAGTTTTCTAGATGGATGTAAGTCAGCCTAATTGCAACTTCAGTAATGTAGCAGTCCATGGTGGTGGACGTTTAGCCATCTGAAGTCTTAGTCAACATAATTAACCACTTCATGGAAAGAAAGTACTATGATATGATACTCCTCTTAAATAAGACTGAGGAGGTTCCTTGGTTTACATAATCATACCCCAGTAATAGTATCCTCTGACCTCCAAAGCAGACACATGCTGACTGGGTTCACCCTACTCAAAGCAACTGGTTTCATTCCGACTGACTGATATTGTCAGCAGCCTTGGTCTCTCAGCTTATGCAGTTTTGTTTTGCTGCAGTTGGAGAGGTCAGACACCTTGTCTTACTCCCCCAATGGTAATAAGTAAAGGATTGTATATAATTCATAACATCTTAAAACTATCAAAGGTAAAAAGTTTCTCTTTATTAGAAGCTTATTTGGAAAGTCTTTGACCTATGCCCTTCCTTCTAGAATCAGTGATGCTTTTGTTGTAAACTTTGTCTGGGTCTATGCCAGAGACCTCTCTGTGTAGTTAGCTGATGTAGATGACATCATTTACCTCTCTTCCTTTTTCTTAAGAAAACGCAGAGTTTATGTGAATTACATCTAATAGCTCACATTCCCATTACATGGTGCTTTTGTTGTTGTGAATGCATGAAATTGGTCATGGTTGGTGACGAGTTTTCATTACGCAAATTAGGTCTGTCTGTGATGCAGGAGGCCCAAAAGGCTTACTGATGCCTTGTTGATCCACTAGTTATGATCTTAGTCATTTAAAATCATGTGACATGTGAGTATTAAGTAATCTTAAGGGCGAGGATTAACAGGTTATTTTGTAACCAGTGGCTAGCTGGGATGCTAGGGCTGTTTTAACAATATCTTATTGTGAGTCTTTGTAATAAGATTTTTGACAGAATATGTATCGTCGGATTACAGAATTTCTTTTGGATCACTCTTGCCCTAGACATTCAGTTATCATTAGTACTGGTTTGCTCCTATTGGTGCCTTCTTCGGATTCTGTTTTTCTCTTGCTGCAAGCTTAGTGGAAAGTTTTTCTGCTGCTCCAGGATTTTATCCTTCATGCTTATAATGCATCTTAACTTCTCTTGTATGTTATATTACAAATTTGAACCAGAGGGTGGGCGATAAACTATGTCCTTTGTTTGTGTTAGTGATCTTCACAGTGCCAACATTGAAAAGTTCAAGAAATATGAAGCTGACTACAGTCGTTGGTTGACTGCAAAATACTTCTCAAAGAAGAATCTGTATGGAGGTGTGCAGCATTTTAAAAAAAAATCTATGATGCGGAATACATTTTAAACCACAGCTTTTTATTATTGAATTGTAATGATGATGAAGGCAAGTCAAAGAGTTATTCAAAATTAAAATTACTTCATTCTTGCAGGCAACATCTTTGATGAAGATATGACAATCCAAGATGAGATTATTAAGTCAAGCAGGTACAATTATTGAAGCATGTGTTTTTTTGCCTGAAATATCGTATGTTTTTATTTTTCAGAATCTAATCATGTTGAGTTCCTCATTGTCTAGGTGGCCTTGTACCCGATCATATGCAGACCCAGTGCAGGGTTTTGAAGAACAGAGCAACAGCTGTTCAACTACTACTGTAGCCGAGTCCCCATCCAACATCTCAAATGGGAAGCACCTAGCAAAGAAGAACAGTTGATGATAGTTTTTGTCGATTTTCTAGGACCTACATATATCATATTTTGTACACAAATAAACGTGTTGAATGATGCTGGGTGCTAACATATTACTGAATTACATGAACCCAAGATTTTGGAAATCTCTAATTCAGCTATTAGGAGTTTCTTATGCCAATTGATGTCTTTGCATCAGATGCCTGCCGTATTAATTTTATTGAGCAACATATAGTTGAGATGCAAATCGTTGGCAAATAACATAATGACATTCACCATCGCTGAAGCATAAAATGGCTTCGCAGAACAACTAAAAAGCACAATATTACATGCATACGGCCTTACCACAACTCAACTGAGAGATTTGTATTGCACCAGTTAAACTCATGTATCTTTGACTGTATTTACCTATATAAAGAAAAGGGAAAATTTTATGCATCAATACTAGTGAAACCCTGTACCGAATGAAGTTCCTCCATGTTTCATAGCAGAGATGTAATCATGGGGTACTGGAATCTTCGGCTCTAAGTCGATTGCCATTGGTGTTGGTGGTGGTGACATCTCCCACATTCCTCAGAGGTGTTATGAGATCGGCAAGGAGGATTTGGAGGGAAGAAACTCTCTCTTTCAATTGAGCATTCTCCTGGAGGATCTGCTGGTTGCCCTCTAACAGTTGGATGAGCTTCTCCGAGAGCTGGCGATTCGTAGCATGGAGCTGATCCACCTGATACTGCAGCTCTTCAATCTGCTTCTTCTTGCGCATCCGTGACCTTCTTGCAGACTCTCTGTTGGATATCATTCTCTTGAGCCTCCTTTCATAGTTAATGCTTTGCTCCCCTGCTTCATCAAAGGCAGTTTCATTGCTGAGAGAAGAGGTGTTTGGTGAGAAATCATGGATGTGAGAGAGGGGGAAGAACCTAGTGGGGCAAAGTGATATGGAATCCAGATTGTGAACTGGATTTGGATGGGATTGAGTTGGGATAGAATGACTAGTTAAGTAGTGGAATCCCTTTGATTCATTTGGCTCCATCAAGGTGAAGAACTTTCAGGTGACTAGGAGGGGAAGAGAGAGAGAAATTTCACAAGGGGTTTTAGTGCTTTAGAGAACAAGTACCATACTGAATTTATAGTGAGCTTGTAGCAACTATATATACACACACGCGCGCGTTTCTTGGCATTCAAGTTTTAAGAAATTTGACTGGAAGGAGCTGCGGTTTTGTTTATGAGATATGGCTCTAGCTAACTAGGGAGATTAATTGATGCAAGGACGCAAGCACATTAGCTTCTTGTCATATATTGTAATGTTGTTTAAAAAATTTTTTTCTTTTTGTCTTTACATGAATTCATATCAACATCTCAAGGCAAGACCTGAAGAGAGGGATGCTAATTTCAGGAGATGCGTGCAGAATTATGAAAGAATTTAGAGTGGATGATCACATTAATTTGCATATTTTACATTACTTCCTCGGAACGTCTCGCCAAGAATGTGCTTAACAGAGAAATTAGGATTTGCTATAAATGCAGGGAAAGGCTAGTTCATGAAGACAAGTGATCTCATGAAATGGACAGATTGATCTTTCAACCGAATGGTTTACAAGGTTTGTTTGTGTTGTTGTATGGATGGCTCATACCAAAGTGAAAATATGACTTAAACTCCTACTTAAGCTTTTTTTGGTTGCTTCTAGGATTAATGTAGGTGATAAATACCAATAAATTCTCTTGATTGAGAAGCTCACACATTTACTTTAATGAATTCCAAGTGATTAAATGTCTTTTCCATGACATTTAAGGATGCCTCTATCTCTATGTACAAAAATAAGCAACCTAGTTTAAGGACAAAGGAATTTGTAAAATATTTCTTTCATGAGTTTTGATGCAGAAATGCGTGAAAGTTATTAATAGGACACAAACAAACGTTTCCGGAAGAAAAAAGAAAAAAACAAGGTACAAATGATGGGCATCATCAGCTTACTTTTGCTAAATTGGTTACAGAAACATAAATTTTATTTGATTTTGTGGTTGAACACTTAATCCAATATATTGACTATCATTAACATATGCTCAGTCTGCATAAGCAAGCACCAATTGTTGTGCTTTAATGCTTCTTTTCGTTTTCCCAAATTGCCACCCCTGAGAAAATATACGAGGAATGTAGTGGATAAAATCCCTATAATTTAGTAGCACACAGTCATTCGAATTCTAATTTTACCCAATAATTTGATTTCAATGGATGGGGGTTCTTTCTAACTTGTTCTTTTTTTCTCCTTTTTCTTTTTGAGTGAGATGCAGCTGTTTCATGAGTTTAACGCAAATATGCTTTTGCTTTTTCTACTGATGGAATTACTTTTTCCGTTTCCTATCAAAGAAAAAACATGTCCAGATGGGTAGTTTAGGCCTCCAAAATCTCAAGGATGAAAGAGCACACAAAAAATGAAACATATTATTACATTATATGCTTGACCTGACCATCATAAGGGAGGAATTCCCATAAAAAATGTTAACAATGATCAGAAATAATTAACATGATAATCCAGCCATAAAACATTCTTATACTCTCATCAAAACAAACAAAGCATCCTGAATCATCTTATCCTCCATCTTTTAACCAAATACAAGAGGTAAACACTTCGCCACAGCGATATCTACATTTTCATAAACCTAATGCTGACTTTCAAAAAAATACCTCATCATAATCAAAGCCAAGAGGATGCGCTTGGGTCCTTCTGCCCTCAACAGAATGAGTTGGGGTCCTTCTGCCCTCATATGCAGCATCATCGGTAGGTAATTCATGTCGACAAACAGGACATGTATTTCTGATGCGTAGCCATGGGACAATGCAATCACCATGGTACCTATGTGCACAAGGCAGCTGCTTTGCTTGTTCCCCAATATTCATGTCATCCTTACAAACAGCGCAAAGTGCATTACTGTTGTCCACATCCTCCTGAGTCAAAACCGCTGAGGGAAGATTTTCAACAACAGCATTGGCAGCCGGAGGCCTCCCCGTTGATGCATTCTCATTCTCAGAGAATTGCCCAAACAACAAATCATACTCTGCAGTGTAGATATAATCATCATGATCTCCCCCATTGAACGGTTCAGCATCTGGGTTTGTCTCCCAATTACTGGCATTCAACAGAACTTCCCATTCTAAACTCTCCAAAGGTTCAATTCTCTCCACACTCACTTCCTCTTCAGGAGCAATTATTGTCGAAACTGAAACTGAGACCGATCCTGATTCAGTATGATCGGGATCAATAAACATGCTGAAGACCTCTCGCTCCTCACCGCCACTGTCAACTTCTTCCCACTCGAAATCTTCGTTATTTTCCCTGTGGTCTTCCAAAAGAAGCGAATCCCAACAAAGTGGGATGCTTGTATCATCATCACAGTCATCCGGAAGATTATACGCACTATGCTCATCCACAGAATTCAAATCAATCCCAATAACCCCATTCTCATCCTCCTCATCTGAATCGGACCCAAATCCAACGAGCCGCACGCAATTCTCAAAAGCTTCAGCCCTACTTAAATTAGACGTTGCCTCACCAGATTCAGACCCAGAAACCCTCCTTCCCACGAAGAAATCGTCCTCGTCAGGATCATCAATACCATCACCATCCAAACAATGCCTAGAATCTAAGCCTGACCCTAACCCTAAACTTAAATCGAGGTCCAAACCACCCATACCCACATCGCAATCGCAATCGCAATCGCAGTTCCCCTCAATAACCCCAAAACTGAAATCATCGTTAAGAGCTTCAGAAACCGAAACGGAACGAACGGTTACCTGAGACTGCTCGACGCGTTGCTGGAAGAGATCCATGACGAAATTGACCTGGTTCTCGCGGTCTTCCAGCAAACCGGGGTTGGAAATGGAACTGGGCTCCGAGACGTCGTTGTTCCGAATGACGTGGATGGTAGATTGGTATTGGGAGAAGAGGTCGTCGCAGTCTTCGTCTTCGTCTTCGTCTTCGTGGACGGTGAGGATGTGGGCGCGGAGGGAGCGATCGGAGGGCGGGAATTCGAGATCGGAGGAGTAGACGTCGAAGTCGTGGTGGGCCCAGTTGGGGAGGGGGTCTAGGGTTAAGGATTGGCGAGGTTCGTCGTCTGGGTCGTGGAGGTGAAGGAAGGTGACCTCTGCCATTGACATGTAATTTTCTTCGGGTTCGGTTCTGGGTTGCTTTAAATTGTGAATCGACCAAAATTTGAGGGTTTTAAAGTTTGAAATGTAGCAACAGTGAAATTACGGCTAAACCCCTCTTTCTTTGCAAAATAGACGTGTGTGGTTTGGATTTTCACGTTTCTTGTGTCCCTCCCTCCCGATCCCCAACGAGAGGGAGAAGTGTTTGGCTGTATGTCACTCACTGAATTCGCATATAAGATATTAACATGAATTTATTGCTGAGTTACAATAATAACCTGCTAACTTTGAACTCCATCTATTTTCTATTTTACTCGATATCTCCAATTTCAACTCCATCATCAATTACATAAGGGTATTTATAACAATCTAACATTAGAGTGAAAATTTTTCACTTATTCTATGAAAGAAATCCTAATTCAAATAATTAGCTCTGCACCTGATTTTAAATCTCATTTTTCTTAAATTAGATTAATCTAGAGTAAAGTTGTTTGAATTTCGTATTTTTTATTGAAAATAAATTAATTGCAAACTTAACAATTTGTAATCTTTAGAGAATAGTCCAACAACAAAAATTCTTTAGAGAATAGGAAACCAGTTTCTGGCAACCTTGCCTTGTTTTTAGTTTTTAGTTTTTTTGGGTATTACTTGGACCTCCTTTCCTAACGAAGAAAGGACATATCCGAAACAGTCAAATTTTCTTATAACCATGGCCGCATATTTTTTTTTATTTTGGTCAACCATGGCCACATTTAATCTGCTTTTTGAATCACCCTAGGTAGGTTCATGATCGTTTTAGGTGGCCCATTCTGAGCCCACAACATGTTTTAGGCCCAATAATTCTTACATTAAATGAAACGGGTTTGTGAGGTCACAATTTTTCTTAATTCCAAACATAGTGTGAAATATCGATAATATCGGTTTTTTCGAATCACAGATATTTCAGAATATATCCATGTACATATCGTATAAATATCGACAATATCGATGATAATATCGGAAAATATCGATGTCTATAATTTCGCTCACATTTCAGTAATATTTTGTCAAAATATCGGTGTAATATCGCAAAAATGTCGAAAATATCGATGTAAAGGGAAAAGAAAAAAACAGGGAGAAAAGGGAGAAGAAAAAAAACACAAAGGGGACTTAAACCCCTCCCATTTTACTCCTCTAACACCTTAATCACCATATCACTTATGTTTTTGTGATAATATGCTAAAATATTTATATTTATATGGGTGACATGTTAACAATTACATACAAAACTATTTTGGGGATTTATCATTTGATGACTACTCTTCACAATACACTTACTCTACACATAGAGATGATGAAGATAATGAAAAATTTGAATCTCATAAGAATTATATATGATACTAAGTCACTCATGTATCTTACCATACAATGTATGAAATGTAAAATATTATAATAAATCATTATATATAAATGATTATGGTGTTTAATCTTTTTTTATTAATTACTACATATTTTCTACACTCACAGTGTTTGCCAGCTCGCTGTATAATCAACTTAAATCAGTTAAATCCATCATGCAATGCATTTACTTCTAATTTTTTATGATAAACTAACAGATAATTGACTAAATAAACATTCTCCAAAGTTTCAATAAAAATTTCCAAGTTTTTCTTACAATTTCCGTGGGTTTTATTCATTTTTTATCGATATCGATAATATCCCGATATTTCCATCGAAATTTCCATCTTTTTGGACTACCGATATTTCCGATATCATCGATATTTTAGACCTTGATCCCAAATATATAGTACTTTAAGAAATGATCTCACTTCCAAAAAAAAAAGTGATCTATTTTTATTATTAAAAATAATAAAATAAAATAAAAATGAAGAAATAGAGGCTCTTAT